GTGGTAGCATCACGGAGTGTAGGAAGTCACTTGGGAACGCGAATTGGAGGTCTGAGAGAAATACCCGGATCTATTTGTGGATGTTTGAGCACATGTTGTATATTTTATTGTATTAATAAACTTTAAAAGCATTGAATATGTTTTAAGTTGTAAAACATTGTTTATGTTTCGGTTTATGAGGTATTACTGTATATGCCTTGGAAATGGAAGTTATTTTAGCATTGTATATGTTAAATGTGTTGTAGAAATGCAAATATATTATTGACATTGAATATGTTATGGAATTGTGAACCATGTACATTGAGAATTATTGGATTTGAAAAAGGTGCATATTGATAATGCATGGTGGAACATATGTTGTAATTTGTCTCTTGAATAGAGATGGGATGACCGGTAATGGGTCAGGTTGTGGAATATTGAATTATAATATTGTTGAGAATTGAAAAATCATGTTTTCAAAACATGTACCTAATTTCGAGGATGAAATTCTTTAAGGGGGGATGTTATAGCGATCTCGGTTTTCCTCTCATGTTTACTGTATTCCGGACTCGGTTCCGTTGATAGTTGTTGTTGTCTGTATTTCATTTCCGTCCTTTGTACATTGAGAATTATTGGATTTGAAAAAGGTGCATATTGATAATGCATGGTGGAACATATGTTGTAATTTGTCTCTTGAATAGAGATGGGATGACCGGTAATGGGTCAGGTTGTGGAATATTGAATTGTAATATTGTTGAGAATTGAAAAATCATGTTTTCAAAACTTGTACCTAATTTCGAGGACGAAATTCTTTAAGGGGGGATGTTATAGCGATCTCGGTTTTCCTCTCATGTTTACTGTATTCCGGACTCGGTTCCGTTGATAGTTGTTGCTGTCTGTATTTCATTTCCGTCATTTAACTCTTTGTATTTGAGTTTAGAATTGTTTTGGGCGTGTTTCGAACAGGTTGGTTGAGCTTTTGTCCCAACTCTTGTTGCCTAGATTTTTAGTAAGCCGCTCGAGCGGGTCTTCTTGAGCTCGAGCGGAGTTTGCATACCTTCAGTAGTTTGTCTGTCTGTAAAAATACTGCAGATGTGTTTTTCACGCTCGAGCGGATTTCCTTACGCTCGAGCGGGTTGCGCTCGAACGGGTAACCTTGCGCTCGAGCGGGTGTTCGATGTCTGTAAAAGTACTAGAAGAGTGTAATCTACGCTCGAGCAGTTTCCTTTTTGCGCTCGAGCGGGTGGTGTCTTGTTTTGTACCTTGGCGCTCGAGTGGGTGTTTTTGCGCTCGAGCGGGTAAGTTTTTTGTGTTTGACACTCGAGCGTCCTATTCTCCGCTCGAGCGGGTCATACGTATATCAGATCTAGACTGTGTTATTTTAAATCACTTTTTACACACTCTCTTTCTTTCTTACTTTTCAAAACCCTATTTTGAGAGCCTCTCTCTCTAGAATACAACTTCTCTCTAAGGTTTGATCTAGTTTGAGTGATCTCCTTCCTTAGTTTCTTTGTAAAAAGTGTTGATCTTGGTGTAGGCTACCTTTCCATCCGAAAATCTTGAGTTTTGGAGCATTTCGAGTTTTCTTCAACTTCTCCATTTGGTCTCTCCATTTGAGATAGGGATAACTACTCGTTTTTATGGTCTTCGACATAAACTTTTTAGTCATTTTGATAAAATGTTGAAGTTGGGTAATTTTGGGTGTTAGGGTTTTAATTGTTTAAAGAGGGGTTTTGTTATTTTGACCCACACTTGTGTATTTCGGGTCATAAAATGAGGGTATTGATGTTATTGAAGATATTTTGAGCCTTTGGGTCAATATTGAGAAAAAAGGAGAAAAATCCCTAATTTTTTTATGAATTAATTTATATAATTAATTTGGGAATGTTATGGAAATATGAAATTGAGTTAGGAATAATGAAATTGGCTCATTATGTAGTAGAATGGTGGAGCTGGATCTAATAATCACTCACCTTTGAGAATTGTCGATAATTTATCTGTTGATGCATTTATTGTCTGTTTAGAAATAACTGTTTTGGGCTATCGGTGGAGGATAGTCTTGATTGTTGTAGACACTGCATGATGATTAGGTGAATTAAAACTAATCAATTTGAGTATGTCATTGAGTATGACGGTTGGAATAATACAGCGAATATGTGTATTGATTGGTCATTGTATATGATAAGTATTTGAATACATGGGTGTTGAGTCCCACGGATGAAATTTCCGTAAAATGGCAAATTTGAAAATATTAGACATGGGTGCCGAGTCCCGCGGACGAAATTTCTGTAAAATGGCAATTCGAAAGTATTTATACATGGGTGCCGAGTCCCGCGGATGAAATTTCCGTAAAATGGCAATTAGAAAATAACTATACATGTGTGCCGAATCCCGGACGCAATTTTCGTAAAATGGCAGTTTGACGTATTGTTGGCATGAGATGTAGTCTCATTTAAGTTGTTTGGCCAGGTTCTGAGTCGTGTTTATAAGTTGAGAATTGGTTCCTAAGCTCAACCAACCTGCTCCAAATCTTCCCAACACAACCCAAGACTCAAAATAAGAAAAAAAATGAATGACAACAACAATTATACGATGACGGAATCTACGGAACGTAAGTCCGGATACAATAATCAAATGGGAAAAGACCGGGGTCGCTATATATTATGTTTAGCATATCTCTACTGGGCGTTGGTTCACCCTATATGAGACATTGTTTTTCAGGTTCAGGTGTTATGCCACTTCCCAGGACGTAGCTTGAGAGGCTAGAGGCTGGAAGACCTTTTGTGTTATCCTTTATGTAATATATGTATATCAAGCCTTGGGCTTATTTTGTATAAAGAATTAGAACTCTACTTTTGTTAAACCCAAGTGTTGACTTGGAAAGTTGTAAGCCTATAGGGCATTTACTTTTGTTGTCAACATGTAATATCTTTTGTAAGAAGACTCTAATAAATGGCATTATGTTTTACTCTCTTAAGTTTATGGATGTAATGAATGCATGATTTATGGGTTTGTTTTGAGGGCGTTACAGGTGTTCAGCGATTGCTCACGATTTGAAAGTGAGAAGTTGAAAGTGAAGAAGTGAGAAAGGTTGAAGTGAAGAAGTTGAAAGGGTCCGATAAGTATGGTAAAAGTGAGGAAGGCTGCAATAAGTATGTGAAAAATTAAAAAGAGTGTGTGTATGGGATAAATGAAAAAGACTTGGAAGAATTCAACAAATGCTGAGTTTTTTTTTAAAAAAAAACAAAATAAAAAAAAGTTAAAAGGAGAAGTCAAAAAGACTTTGGAGAATTTAATAAATGCTGAGCTCTCACAAGGCCTGTGAGTTAAAAATCCCGTTTTTTTTAATATATAGATAGACAGATAGATAGTTAAAAGACAAAGCATTACCCATTTAGAAGTCTAATTTATAAATGAAAAAGACTTGGAAGAATTCAACAAATGCTGAGTTTTTTTTTAAAAAAAAACAAAATAAAAAAAAGTTAAAAGGAGAAGTCAAAAAGACTTTGGAGAATTTAATAAATGCTGAGCTCTCACAAGGCCTGTGAGTTAAAAATCCCATTTTTTTTAATATATAAATAGACAGATAGATAGTTAAAAGACAAAGTATTACCCATTTAGAAGTCTAATTTTGTTCCCACATTATTAAAATGTGTGAAGAAAACAAAAATTTTAATTAATGGAAACTACAATTTAATGGGCCAAGACATATATATATATATATTTTGCATGTGGAATACATAGTTTTGGAGTATACTTAGACATAATACTCTTATAATATGCCAGAATTTTTCATTGGGCGATGGGGGACTCAATTAATAAGTTTGGTGTACATAGGCTTTAATTAAAGCATTCAATAGTAGAGTTCACATTAGCCTATAGGCTTTCTTCCAATCATAGAGTAGAACATTGAAAAGGAAGTCAAAAAAACTTTGGAGAAGTTAATAAATACTGAGTTTTTTTAAAAGAAAAAAAATCAAAAAATTAAAAAAATGAGGATTGGGATATTGAAGCTTTTACAAGGCATGTGAGTTAAAAACCCTCTTTTCCTTAATATATAGATGCTTTTTTATCATTTAAGTGCTTATAATTTTAATTGACTTAATTTTAATCATGAATTTATGATTTTATCTAATTATTATAATTGTTAGTATTTTTTAATAAAAAAATGTACACATATATGACATGTAATATATTTTTATAAATAAAATTATAAATTTGTTCAACTCAATAAATTAGTCACAACTAACTCAGTGATCATTTTCTTTAAATCAAAAAAATTAAAACAATTAAAATTAGGCACTCCAGTCCCAGATCAAATTGGAGGGTGCGGTTGGGCTCATGAGGGTCACCACGAATTCTGTTTTGATAATCCGAACTGTAGAATATGTAGAAATAATCGAGTACTAATTTATGTAAAAAATCATGTTGATCAAATATCAATAATTAGGTGATCAAATCAGTTTTGTATAAAAAAAATGGACGGTGAAAAAATGAACAATTGATATAAAACTAATTCGATCAAATAGCTATCAATATTTGATCAATGTGATTTTTTACATAAATATAGTATTCGACAAATTTTACGTATCAAACAGTTCAAATTATTAAAACAAAACCTATAATAAACTTTACAAACTCAACAATACCTTCTAATCTGATTTAAAACTAGAGAAGCTAGACCTTAAAAATATAACCGTAATGATACATCCCACTAAAAGTGGTGCTCTAAAGCACCATTAATGAGTTGGCAAGCACTTTAAATAAAATAAAAAAAAAAAAAAGCAAGACACAAGCAGTAGATCCCGTTCACTATCACATTATTAATTATGCTTTTAAAACACCACTTTTAATGACCTCAAGCATTATTGAAAATATAAGTACCAAACTAACAGAGAAGCAAAATACGATAACTAAAAAATAAATAAAATAAAAAAAAGGGGACGTAAGAACCACAAAAGTCAGAGTCAACAACAAATTTGGCTACTTGTTCAAAAAACAACAATTTGGCTACCGCTGCCTCATCAAATCAATTAGTAGAAAAAGGCAAAGCTTTGAAGATTCCGTCTTTGCTTTCACCAAACTCATACACAGGCTCTCTCTCTCTCTCTCTCTCTCTCAGTTCAACCATTATTGCTATCATAAACAACTACCCATCTTACACAATTCAAATTCCATGTTTTGTTGGTGTACCTAACAAAACAAACCCAGACAACACGAGAGAGAGAGAGAGAGAGAGAGAGAGAAGAGAAGCAAAAAAGAAGGGAAATGGCGAGCTCAGTAGCATTGGAAGATTTGCCATCGGTGGACATCATGACTGAACTCCTACGCCGCATGAAGTGCTCTTCCAAGCCTGACAAACGCCTCATTCTCGTTGGTAATTAATTATATGATATCACCCATTTGTTGATTTGTCAAGTTTCATTTCATGGGTCTTTTGCGAAATCTTCAAATAGTTTAGAAATCTGTTAGTTCCATTTGTATATTTGTAAAGTTTAATTTCATGGGTTTCTTTCGAAATCTGCTATTAGTTCAGAAATCTGTTAGTTCTTGAGCTTTTCTGCTGTGATTATCGTAGTAATTAATTGGGTTGTGACTGACTTTTAGATTGATGTTATTGTTTTATATTTATTGTGAGAATGTGTTTTCTAATTTGTGCAACACGGAGGATGATGATGAGTGTGTTAGTATCTCCAACCCTTCACTACTTTTTTCATATGATTTGGTTCCAAATTTGAGTAAAAAGCTTGATTTGATTTGAACTACTCCAACCCTTTCATCAAAATATTTTTAACAATTCCCCTCTTATCCCAAATTTATCTTTTTAAATAATTTGATGAATTCTCAATTTGGTGAAAAAATGTTTCTCCCTTCATTTGATAAACATGTGATGAAAGGATTGGAGATGGTTTTTGAGCACTTTTTCATCAAATTTAAATTTAATGAGAAAAAAAGGTTAAGGATTAGAGATGCTCTTACAATTTACAGACTCAACCAGAATGCTAAAAGGCCCAATGCTTACGAAGATTGTGTATTGTTTATTTTGCATTTCAGTCAAATTGAATTGACACTATATTTTTTTTGTCCAAATTGTCCACACAAAGTAAAAAAGAATTGATGAAAAGCACAACCCATCTTCAACTTTTCCAATTTAACTCTCCCAAATATCGAATTTTCCAAATTTGCCAATTAGATCCTCCTTTAATGCCTAGAACTATTGTGAGCTTCTGTTGTCTAATTTTGGGAACTTGAAGAATGTAAAGGGGAACTAAATTGTGCACAGAGTTGGTTTGGGTTGGGAAGGGTAGAGGACTATATCTAACTCCCACTGATGTTATTTTACATCCATCTCCATGGACTCTTAGGTTGTGTTTGGATTTTGAATTTGAGGGCGGACTAGATTAGATGGGATTAGCATTCCTATTATCAATCCTTTTGGATTGTGTATCTTATTTCATGTTTGGATTAGCCCAAGATTACAAGGAGAGATTGACAAAATCCTATCAATTTTGTAATTTCGTCAATTCCTCCGAATCTCTTCTTAATCCCCCGTTTTGTATCCTATCTCCTCTTGCGATTCAATAGTCCACCATATGGGGGGATATCATGACCAGATGGACTATTCGTTTAGGCCCCAATATTCTTAGCTAAACATGGGATTATGTATTTGGTTGGATAATTAATCCAATCCCAAGGCCATGCCCCCCAATCAAACATGACCTAAGAATTATTCTCTCTCTTTTTCTTTTCCCTCCACAAATCCAAGATTGAAATACAGCCTTATTGTTTCTTAATGTCACAGATTCCTGTAGTTGAGCGTGAAACTGCCAACATATGTATGCTGATTCTTGCATTGAAGCCTTGTAGGCACTAAAGTTGTCTATGGATGGTCCTGAGGACAAACAGGCTTAGCTAATTATCTTTCTTTTAATGCTTCTATAATTTCCATTCATTGTTTGGGGAGGGTGGCTAATTCGCAATTTGCATGCTAATGAGAAAATGGATGATTAACAGGTCCACCTGGATCTGGAAAAGGAACACAGTCGCCCATCATTAAGGATGAGTATTGTTTGTGCCACTTGGCCACTGGTGATATGCTGAGAGCTGCTGTTGCTGCTAAAACTCCACTTGGCATTAAGGCTAAGGAAGCCATGAGTAAGGCAAGTAAAGTTTAGGCTTGATGTTCATAATACAACTTGAATCAGGTTGTTTGTTCCATGTTTCACACATTTTTGCATTGTTTTTTATGTTGGTTCTGTTGCTGATTTCTTTTTTATTTTATAGGGAGAACTTGTTTCTGATGACTTGGTTGTTGGGATTATCGATGAAGCAATGAAGAAGCCCTCGTGTCAAAAAGGTTTCATTCTTGATGGTTTTCCAAGGACAGTTGTCCAAGCAGAAAAGGTTATATTAACTATGAAGTAACACGATGCCTGTTAACTGACTCTCTTTTTCTCTCGGATTTGATCTTCTTCTTGACTACTAATCAAGACATTTTTTAATATGACACAGCTTGACGAAATGCTTCAGAAGCAAGGAGCAAAAATTGATAAAGTGCTCAACTTTGCGATTGATGATGCCATCTTGGAGGAGAGAATTACTGGCCGTTGGATCCATCCTTCTAGTGGTCGGAGCTACCACATGAAATTTGCACCTCCCAAAGTGCCTGGTGTTGATGATGTAAGTTAATGCTACATAAGAGTTTATATAATCTTGTGTTTTTCCAGTAATAAATGAGCGATGTCCTAGTAAGATCATTGTACTAGCAAAATTTGTTACTTTACATGCGTAATGCGTTTAAGCTAAAGCAATCTAGCACTCCATGGACCAGTAATTAAGATGTGAATTTATATCTCTCTCTTTCCATATTGCATGTTGGAGGGGATCATTAAAATCCAACTGCTTCAAACTCCGTTAATCAACTCAACTGCCAAACCATAAAGACTAGTAAAAAAGATCGAAGAAACTCATGTTAGCAAACCCTGCTAATGTACTTTATTTCTGAAAGAAGGTTTTGAAAGCTTTCCTCCCATCATCTGAAAGAAGGTTTTGCTAACATTTATTTTTAAGTTTTGGCCTCTGATAATACCTATTAAAATGAATGAACTAAAAAAAGAAAAAGAACTCAATCCCTGAATCATTCAGTCAATGGTGTGCAACGGACCCTTGGGCCATATAGCTTGTTTGTTGGGAAAATTAGAAACTTTAGCTGCTCCCAGTGGTCCAAAACTTATTGGCTACCTTTTACTATTTCACCTACCCTACTATTAATAATCTACTTACTGGAAAGTAAGAGACACTTTTAAATACTCTATGCTTTGTATACACAAATTCATATAATCCACATTCAGTGCTTTGATATTAAAGTGCCAAGGTTATAATTCTTCTATATCCAATAATAATATATACATATTTATCATATGTATATTTCATCACCTTCATCTACTTGTAGCTTGCACCTAGTTTATGCATTTACTGTATTATATATATATATATATATATTTTAATTGAATGTGCATTTATGGATTCATTCCCTTTTAATTAAAGGTTACTGGAGAGCCCTTGATTCAGCGAAAAGATGATACTGCAGAAGTTCTGAAGTCGAGGCTGGAGGCATTTCACCGGCAAACTGAACCGGTTAGCATTTTTGTTGAATAAAGTTCATTCATTTTCTGTTGGTGATGCACGTCATCAATCTTTTGGTTTATTCAAGTGATATTTTTTTATAATTATGGAATTAATATGTGGCCTGCTATTTTGTTTAGAACATTTTGTCCTTTTCTCTAGGTGTGAGATGCTTCAATTTAAAAAGCTAAGATTGTAATGAGGCAGTGAAATAAGATATCATCATGTCATTTGGCTTTTTGTAAACATAGGGTGATAATCAGGTACACACACACACGTTCAATTTTGTGTTGTGGCAAATTGCAATTCGAAGCCTTTTACTTATTCCAACTGATATTCTCTTGCACACTTGCAATTTGATGTTCTATGAGAATGCCACTTTCCTCCATAAGTTATGTAAGTTTATTGAATTATATGTTTTGCATGTGTCCCTAGCATGTTGTTTCTTGCATTATTTGAAAATTTGCATATTCGCGTGTCCGTATCATGTCACGTGTTCATGTCCGTGCTTCTTAGTTTGGATGTGATGCTTTGCATCTCATCTATCTGTAACACATCGTAAACCACAATCCTTGTAATCCTTGTATGGCTGAAGTTTGAAACTTCACCACCATTATCTCTTGCAAAAATAAGGTTTTCTATGTGTCAAGTTATTGATAAAGTTTTCATACTATCATCAATGCCTTACATTTCTTGCATTAATTCATCTTTTATGTTCATTTTTACAGTTTTCTTGATCCTAAATAAGTATTATTACATATGTCTAAATTGCAGGTTATCGATTATTATGCCAAGAAGGGTGCAGTTGCGCAGCTTCATGCTGAGAAACCCCCAAAAGAGGTCACTGCTGAGGTTCAGAAGGTTCTATCATGATAAAAGGGAGGTGGGATGAGCCTCTCTTTCAATTCAATCACCTTTCTTGTTTTTTTTTCCCAAAAACCAGTATGGATTTTGCTCTTATGTAATCCGATACATTGTCGGGTCGGCTGATCCATCGATTCCCCTCTTCTCTCGTTTGCATTTTTAAAAGCGAGCTCTGGCCGGTGGAGTGCCTGAGGTACTATTTACATTATTGTTCTGGAATAATAATGATGACCCAGTGATGTTGGGAATTTTTCATCGTAAATCTCTGAAATGATTTTTCTGGATGCTCTTCTTCTCATATTAGATTTTTTTTTTCCCCAGAGATGATAACCTCTTATAGTGCAATCTATCTAATTGAAGCATCATCGGCTAGATGTTTGTCCAATCCTAGTGGTACATAAGATGATTGATGAAAGTGATAAAACAAATGATAAACATAACATTTTGGTGAAATTACAACCAAAAAAAAAGGAAAAGTTTGATCTCAATAACAAATTAAATCTTAATTTTTTTATTCATTTTAATATAAACACTAAAATTTTAAAATGATATTAATTCTAACAATCCTTTTGTACCTGGGAACAGAGAAGAGGCAATTTAGATAATATATTATTCTTCCCGTTCATATTATTAGCTGCATCTTACCCTTAACATTGTGTATCACCACCCCTTTTCTTCTCTAAGTCATTGCCATTCTTCCATTTCCTTTTCTCGTCCACCACTACTCCTTCCGTTTTCCAACCAACTACCACCACTCTCCTTCCTTCACCAATCCAAGTTCACTTCTGCCATTTAAGCTTGTCTAGAGTTGAGATTAAGACTGGATCCGTCCAGTTCGGTTCATGAGGCCCATTTTTTGGGCCCGTTTTGATAATCCGAACCGTTTAATATGTAGAACTCGTTGAGTACTACATGCTTGTAAAAAATCACGTTGATCGGATATCAATAGTTATGTGATCAAATCAGTTTTGTATAAAAAAAATGGACGATAAAACAATTAACGGTTGATAAAAAACGGTTTTGTTCACATAGCTGTCGATATCTGATCAACGTGATTTTTTATAGGCATATAGTACTCGACGAGTTCTACACATTGTACGGTTCAAATTATCAGAACGGGACCCGTGACCCAACAGCACAGCTCAATCCGATCTTGGACTGGACCAAAGCCACTGCCTTTAACATTACCAACAAAATATAGTTAAATTGTCTAAGTTGTCCCTATACTATTAGTTAAAATTGATATTATTTTAAATGTTTAAGTTTATATTGAAACAATTAACAAATTAAGATTTGATTTATTATTGAAGTCAAACTCTAATTTTATTTTATTTTAATTCACCCGAACAATTTTGAGTGTATAAAAATTGAGAGTGATGCAAGCTTTGCAGAGACTAGAGAAGGATGGTGGTTTGGTTGCCCATAAATAAAACCAAAAAAAAAAGCAAAAAAAGCAATGCTGAGATAAGGCTGAGCTGCCATTAATGTCTCGTTAGTTGAAAAAAATAAACAGATGCAAAACTGTACATTGGTTTTCGGTGAGTCAGTTAATAACATATTATTATTATTACTCCTTCCGTTATTCAAAATAATAATTTTTTTAAAAAAAATTAACTTTTTTTTAGTAGTATAATTGTTGTATTTAAAAAAATAATTTTTTAAAATTACCTTTTTGATAGTATTGTTTTTTAGAGAATATCAATTGTCATAATTATACTTTTTATGTTATTAATAAATTTAAAAGAAAGGTAAAATAATAAATTCATATTATTTTAGTTTTTAATTTTGGAAAAGAGATTAATATTTTAGAATAATAAAAAATAGGGAAATTTATCGGAAAGTCCTATATGGCTAAATTGTGTTCCGTTTGATCCCGCTGAGTTTTTGTTTGATTGACAAGTCCATGTGAGGAGAAATTGCTTACTGATAAATCTTTTTTGAAGGTAGATGATTGTATATTGGACGAATATGCCTTGACATAATTTATGGAGATATTCTATTTTACTTTGGGTATGTGTAATCCCAAGATTTGTGGAACTGATAGTGGTGAAAATTTGTTTATAAAATTTTCCAAGTAGGGATTTCCAAATGGTGGGTTTTGGAATTCGGAATCACGTACTCAATCTATAACATGAACCCAACAATGAGTAAGTTACCTACACCAAATTGATCTGAAAACTATTTTGAATGCAATCCCACAAATCACGTTTTTCACACCACAAATGGTAGTGCAGTCCATCTATAACGTGTGTGAAGAAAAGTAAATAATGATCTTCATTGATATCAATATTGAGTTATACACTTGCTTATATGCACAACAGTGGGTTTGTTTATATACACAGCAGTGGGTTTGTTATAACAAACCTCCTCTCTCTAACGTGGTTTCAGAATCATACAGACACTGCGTGAACCCAACAATGAACAACTTACGTGAGCCCAACAGTGAACAACTATAACATGAACCCACTCACTCCATTTATAACGTGGGTTTTAGAATTCGGAATCACACCACGTACTCAATCTATAAAGGGAACCCAATAGTGAACAACTTACCCACACCAAATTAATCTAAAAACTATTTCGAATACGATCCCACAACTTACCCACACCAAATTGATCTAAAAACTATTTCGAATACGATCCCACAAATCACGTTGGTGCGATTCGGTCACAGGTATTTGAATTTCAAAACCCACGGCAACACAATCGGAAAAAAGGGTTGGGTTCTTGGATGCAAAGACGAAGTCGAGACTGATGGACCCAACGGAGCAAGATCAGAGATCTTAGAGGATGATGAAATCTGGGTTCACGTGAACAAACACTATGAAATCGTAAAACCCAAACATACATTGATCAATAAAATTTGGGAACTTCTCATTGGGTCGGGTTACATAGGCTCCACAATCACACGAGAACGGGTGGGTGGGTTAAATCACATAAATACCCGACTCCCCCACATCACACAAACAACACTAATTATAGCTACATCACGAGCCACATCAACGTGCTTGGAAAAGCACACCACTTAAAATGAGTCCTAGTACCTTTTTAATGGAGACGTGAAGCACAAACACACCCAACTCTCACAAACACACGCGCACCAAGCTAACCTCAAATTAATACCTCAATGGCAAAATAGTAAACAAACACTCCAGAGGACTAAATGGTTTTAAAAAAAACAATTAGGACCATACGATCTATAAGATGGAAATATGAGATTTACTGGTTAATTCCCCTAAAAAATAAAATAAATGACTAATATTTTGAGAGGAAGAAGTATTATTAAAGAGTAATACTAAGGATTCCAAATAATTTTGAGAGGAAGAAGTATTATTAAAGAGTAATACCAACCCCTGTTGGTATTAAAAAATTTACGACTCATAACCAAACACGTAACTTAAAATTCTATTCAAAACTTATAAAGAAATTTTAAAAAATTTCAAAAATATTTTTTATTTAAAATATAAAAATAAAAGATGTAAAAAAAAAAATACGAACATTATTCCGATCAATCAAGCGGAGGTTGGAAAACATTCGGCCGGACGGTCGAACGTGTTTTCACTGGTGGATATAAAATCAATTTTTTTAAATTGTAATAACACACTCAAATATCAATGTGAAATCATGTTTAAAACTCTACGCCAAACACATGTTTTTCATTTGCTTGTCCTTTTCAATGCTTGCAGCTGACTTTGTGCCACTAAAGTTTAAACTTTTGATGCTGATACACTCAATGTTTTATCAGTCACTATCTAATAGTTCTTTTTTCAAAATGTGACATATAATTTATATTTATGAATAAAAAATAAATGTTATATAAATTAATAAATATACAACTTTTTTTTTATTCTAAATAAATGTTATATAAATTAATAAATATACAACCTTTTTTTTTTATTCTAAAAAGGGTAAATTAGAGGTTTATATTTATTACAGTTAGCTCTTTACTTTTTAGAAATTACATCTTTCTCCCTGAAGTTTAAAGTTTCATTACAGATTCCCTCTCAGCAATTTAATTTTTATAAATTCCAAATTTGCCCTTACTAGGTAAATTACATTGACACCCCTCACATTTTAAAAATTACAATCCCTTCCCTAAGGTTTAAAGTAACATTACCAATTTCCTCTCTCGATTAGTATTAGTTGGAAACAAAATTATTTGGAAAAAAAATAATTGAAAAAAAAATTTGTTAGTAAAATTTTTAAATTTCTATTTTAAAACCAACGTAAACTCATTTTTTGAATTTATGTTTTTTCTTTAAATTTACAAATTGAGACAACAATTTATAAACCAAAAAAATTATCAAACAAGTTTTTATAATAGTTGTTAAAATTTTTGTAAATATAAATTGAAAACTGAAAATGAAATGGTTACCAAACAGGTTTCAGATGGTAAAAATGTCGTAAAATTAATAAATAAGTAAATAAGTTATCAATGAAAGAAATGACTTATCAAAAAATTCTTAGGCTATATATGGTTTGATTTTTAGAATTTTTTTTTAAATTAAAAATTAATTTGGTTGAGAAATTAAAAATAAATATAGTTATCATTTAAGGGTAAAAAATAATTATCATTTTAATTTTTGAACATGTTATATACATATGTATGGTTGTTTCAATTTAATTTGTAAAAAATTATTTTTAACCACTCGAAAGATAAAAATTATATAAAAATGATAATTATTTTTTATTTCTTAACCAAATTAATTTTTAATTTTTTTTTCTAAAAATCAAATCATACATACCCTAAAAATCTTTTGATAAGTCATTTCTTACGTTGGTAACTTATTTACTTATTTGTTAATTTTACGATATTTTTACAATTTAAAACCTGTTTGGTAACCATTTCGTTTTCAGTTTTTAATTTATATTTACAAAATTTTTAAAAACTGTTATAAAAACTTGTTTGATAATTTTTTGGTTTATAAATGGTTGTTTCAGTTTATAAATTTGAGGAAAAAACGTAAATTCAAAAAATGAGTTTACGTTGGTTTTTAAACAGAAATTTTAAAAAATTACTAACAAATTTTTTTTTCAAATAATTTTTTTCCCAATTAATTTTTTTTTTCAATAAATTTTTTTTCCAATTAATACTAACCAAGGGGGCAATTGGTAATGCTACTTTAAACCTTAGGGAGGGGACTGTAATTTCTAAAATGTGACAGGTGTCAATGTAATTTACCCAGTGATGGCAAAATTGGTATTTAAAAAAGTTAAATTGCTGAGGGAAAAATCTGTAATAAAACTTTAAATCTCAGGGAGAGAGATGTAATTTTCAAAAGGTGATTGAGAAACTATCAGGGAGTGTCAGTGTAATTTACCCTTCTAAAAATGTGTGATATGAAAGTTTTGGAAATTGAAATAACAATCACTTGAATAATATGATAGCGGCCTATTTTGGAAAGTGGGTTATAATCCACTTCTCATATTATAACTCACTTCTTCTCTCACAAAAAAACTATTTATAAGTAGCTTTTTATCAAAAAGCTGATTATAACCATCTTTTCAAAATAGCCCAGTATGAAAAATTTGTATAGCTCAATTAAAATGGACACAAATTAAGTCTTAGGTCTTGTTTGAGAACAAATTATTTTAGTAATTTTTTAATTTTTTATAAAAAAATATGCAAAAAAAATAAAGAAAATAATATGATAATTTATAGTAATTTTTTAAATTTTTAACTAAAATAATTACTCCCCAAATAAGCATTAATAACTTTTCTAGCCCTTAAATTTGTCAAGGACAATAACCGCAGAACACTCAGAGGAAAGGTTTAACATGTCATTTTCAAAAAAAAAGAAAAAAAGAAAGAAGTTTCGTTTTTTAGTTCTCTCTTTATTATTCAACTTGAGACACTTTTTAATCTTGAAACTTTTAGGATAATAGCATCAAATTTTATTTTTTTGATGTCATAAAGACAAAAGTAATTTAAAAAATCATATTAGGATTACTTATCTATCTAAGACCTCGTTTGGCAAGTAATTTTTTTAGTTAAAAAGTCAAAAAATTATTAAAAAAGTCAAAAAGCGATAACCTATACAAAAAAATCAAAGATTCTCTTTTCTCTCTACTTTTTGCACATCTTTTCATAAAAAGTCAAAAAATTATTCCAATCATATTAATTTTTTTTATATCATATTTTAATTAAAAAGTCAAAAAATTACTAAAAAAATCTATTCCAAAACGAGGCATAAGTGTTCACTTCTTTATCTATGCTTAGGATTTATCACTAACTTTTCCAAAATGGTATATATGTGTAAGTATTTTTATTTTCTTTCTATTAAAAACTCCAACATTATTTAAAAAAAAAAAAAAGTCAAAAAATTTAAACATAAAGTGATGTACATTTAGGTCAAGTTTGGGAAGATTAAATAAGTGCATTTTTTGACTTTTTTTGTATTATGTGTAGAAAAAGTAGAGAGGAGATGTTGATTGATGTGACCCAAAATAGATAAAAAGATGAAATAAATGCACTTTTTTAGTTTAGCCAAACTTGGCCTTAAACGCATGATGACTATAGTTTCCATGTTTAGATACACAAAATATATTTCATTTTAATCATTTTAAAAGGGGTAAATTACATTTACCTCCCCTAAGGTTTATGACAATTTTAGGGACCTCTCCTGTGATTTGAATAATTACAGTAACTTCTCATACTTTACCTGACAATGTCAAGATTCTCCCATTCTATCAAATTGTTCCAAACGGTGTTACTTTTTCTATAATAAATTACCTTATTGCCCTTCCTTTTAAAATATTAAAAAATATTTTTAGATTGAAGGACAGGTTTGGAAGAAACAAACAGTATCTGTAACAGTATTTTTGGATTTTTATATTTAAAATATTAAAAAAATACAACACATAAATATTTATTTATTTATTTTAATGTGCATTATATTTCATACATTTATGTGTTATATTTTTTTAATATTTTAAATATTAAAAAATTTAAAAAAAATTATTTTTTATTTTAAATATATAAGTTTTATTTTATTTTATAAATATATTTTTAAATATTTTAATTTTTTTGTTATGAGGTTACGATTTGAGTGTAGAGTTTTGAAAGTAGTGTGGAGTTTCGAGTTATGCATTTAGTTATGAGATTTGAAAATAATTTTTGAATTGAGTTTTGAGTTATGTGTTTGGTTACGATTTTAGTGTGGAGTTGTGTTTTGAGTTTAAAATATTAAAATTTAAAAACTTAAAATATTTACAAAATAAACTAAAATATTAAAAATAAAAAAAAATTAAATAAAAATGAGTTAATTACCTAAAATTCCTATTTACAAATGTTATGGTAACTCAAGTTATATCTAAGATTTTTTGAATCACTAGTCCTATTTAATAAACTAAGAATATTATCAGTTTTTTTTTTCTAATTTTTAAAATTAAGAATATTATCAATTTTGCATAGTAATGTATCAGATTTTTGTTACACTAACTAAGGGGAAAAAAATAAATAAATAAAGTTTGAGATTAAACGTTTTTACTCTTCTACTTATTAGTTTAATTCAATTGCTCAATAAAGTCGAGAACATTATCGATTTTTTTCAATTTTAAAACTGAGAATATTATCTATTTTTTCATTTTTAAAGTTTTATTTATTTATTTATTTATTATTTTTTAAGTTTTACACATCAATGTTCCATCATCATGCTCCTTTATAGACACAAAATTTTCAGCCTTACACAAAAAAAAATAATAATAATTCAATTTTTTCAAAAAAAATTAGTTTTTTTTTTCTTACATAATATTTTTTTAGTTTTTTCAATTTGAAAGTTGATAGTTTTAAAGTTTTGAAAATCAAAATGAATATCAAATCATCATGTTCCTTTATAAATAATCATAAATGATGAATAATCATTATTTAAAGGACAATTCCGACTATTAAAAAATTAGTAGGACTTTAAGGTCAAAAAAATCTTAGTTAGGATTTAATGGAGTATAAATTCATAAATTAGGACTTGTTTGAAAATTTCCCAAGAAAAATTATTTATTTCAAATAAAAAAAAAAAAAAAATTTAAACATTTTTTAATATTTTAAAAAAATAAATCAAAAAATATTGTTCCAAACACTGTTTGTTTCTTCCAAACTTGTCATCCAATTCAAAAACATTTTTTAATATTTTAAAAGGAAGGGCAATAAGGTAATTTATTATAGAAAAAATAATACCGTTTGGAACAATTTGACAGAAAAAGAAATCTTGACATTATCAGATAAGGTAAGGAAGGTTACTGTAATTATTCAAACTATAAAGGAGGTTCATGTATCTGTCAGAACATCAGGAGAGGTAAATATAATTTACCCTTTTAAAAGAGTTTTTTTTTGTTTTATTTTTTGGGTAATTCTATTTCCACCCCCAAATACACTCAGGACAAATCTTTTCTCAATACACATCCCTATTAATTTAGTTATTAAGTAATTATCTCAACCCATATCCTTAAAATTACAAATAAATCATTCACTCAGATAGCCACACTTTACCCTCAAAATACACACACTTTAATTTCCACCCACTCTCGTGAAGACCAAAGTGACCCCAATTTACATTTGTACTTCAAACAGGAAAGAAGAAGAAGAAGTTCAAACAGAAAACCAAAAAAAAAAAAATCTGCACTTTCCTCACCTCCATTGAATATCTACTAAACACTGTTGAAAACCTTGTTTAAGGTAAGAAATCTTTCAATTTTATTATTACACTTATCATTTTGTTATTAGATTGACAATTTTCGGATCTCTCGTCATTCCATTGGCATGAAAGTATGTTTGTTTTGTAGCTGGAAGTGCTCGGCACTGGGTTTCCTAATATATGTATTTCATTCGGAACTTGATTTCCGAATATTATGCATAATTTCGTCTATTAAATTTTGAAAAAAATTCATAACTTCATAGTTTAACCTCCGAATCAATAATCTCTCTCTCTCTGCAACTTTTGACCCCACCATGGCTGCTTTTGATAAGAGAGAAGAAGCACAAGAACAAGAGAAGACAATCCCTGTATTCACTGTCCTCAAGAACAACACTATCCTCAAGAACATCTTCCTCCTCGACAATCTACCTTCAGTCCCTGATCTCAAACCCTTCAATCCCCTTAAAAATAGCGACCGAGTCCAAGAATTCGAGGAAACCTTGCTAGTTGGACGACACCCAGATTGCAATATCATGTTAGAGCACCCCAGCAAAGTGACTACAAAAGAAAAAGTGTATATTGTGATATTTTTATTTTTAAAAGATGTGTATAAAGAATTTGTATAAATAATATTAGGAGTGTTGATCAATGACTATTATAGTAATTTTTAATTAAGATATAATTGTTATTAATCTAATTTTTCATTAAGTGTGTTCAACTGAGTTTATCAGGGTGGTGAAAATAGAATTTCCCTTGTTTTTTCCCCATATTTTTGGGTAATTCTAAAGTAATCCCTTAGTTTCAAATAATTTCAATTTCGGTCCCTCCCTCCCTCCGTCACCTTCGCAAGCTGTCGCTAGCTGCCACAAAACCCACAGCCAAACAGAGCAGCAAAAACCTCTTCGTCATCTCGCACTCACTCTGCACTTCCACCGCTACGACTCCATTACTCTCTCACCTCTTCATGCCCTAATCTCAACTCCCTCAATTCCATAACTCTATCGATCTATTGAGAGCTCTAAATGTACTATTCGAAGCTGTTTTTGTGGATTTAGATAATTATTAATCAATTTAAAGTTTATGATATGTGTTTGTGTGGTTTTAATTTCGATTCTGTTTGTGATTGATTGTGAGTTGTGATTGTTGTTGTGGTTTCAGAGTGAGAATTTGCAAAAAAAATTAAATAAAAATGAAGCTGACTCCGAGAGAGGTTGAGAAACTTATGCTTCATGATGCTGGATATCTTGCTCAGAAGCGTCTTGCTCGTGGCTTAAGGCTCAATTACACTGAAGCTGTGGCACTTATAGCAACACAGGTTAGTGAAAATTTTAAACTTTCAAAAAAGAAAGAAAGAAAGATTGCATAGGGTTGGATACTCGCGGACATGTATAAAATACTTCTTAATTGTTTTTTTTTTCTTATTAATTTTGAAGCATCATTTACTTAATTTTGAAGTGTTGATACTCAAAGTCATGTATTACTTCGTTTACGAAATTAGAATTAATATAGTGTAATTGCAAGGATGAAATGTTTACTCAGTTCTTTGAAAAGAACATAGTGAGTTAAAAGTAATAGAATTTGTTAAATTGATGGATCCCTATTGTATCATACATGTTTAATTTTCATATTTGTTTAGTAATAATTAACAAGAAAATATAAAAAAATAAAAAAATTAATATCAATAAATAAAATGGGAAAGGGAAAGGGAAAGGGAAAGGGAAAGGGAAAATGTAGGTGAAATGTGAATAAAATATATCTACATTTCACCTAGTTTTATACATCTTTTCTCTTTCCCTTTCCAAATCCCTCTCCAACTCCCCCAACCAAACACAGCCTAAGTATAGTGGAACAGTGAAAAATGGAGTCTTTTAGTTTGGTGTCCCAATGTATTTGTGTTGAAGCTTTATGGAATTTTAGTTGCACATGTACAGAATCATGCTGTTTTAATCTAGAAATTGTAACCCTCAAGTCTATTCTGGAATAGGATGTTTGATGTTCCTTTTGTATTTCGGTCCTGTTTGTAGATTTTGGAATTTGTTCGTGATGGTGAAAAGACAGTGGCAGAGTTGATGGACATTGGGAAACAATTATTAGGAAGGTATGATCTGTATTGTTCATCAAATTTCTTCTTTTATTCATATGTTATTATTACCATTCTACAGTAATATAGGCACTGGGAAATTCATCTTTGTTGTTGAATGTTTGATCTTGTGAGTTTGCATCAATCGTAATTGACAGAACAGATATACTGACAGTTTGAAATATTCAGTGAAGAATGAGAAGAAGAAGCATATGGTGGTCCAAAAAAATGGTTTTTTCAGTAATGAAAATGCTCACGTGTTATATTGTTGGAATTCTGACACCAGTTAGTGTTTTTTTGCATCATCTTTTCAGCTTAACGTGGTTTATTGAAGTTATCATACAAGGGAATAATGAAAATTATTTTTCAAACTGGGTGTGTTCTGGCAATACTAATATCCCAAGGTGCTAATAAGTGAAAATGTTTAGCTTCCAGAAAACATTTTGTTTAAGTTTATTAATAATCAATATGGAATGAGTAGAGAAAAATTGACTGGAATTTTTCTTACTGTAAATTACGTGGCCAATGAAACTTGGTGATTTACAAACTTACAGTTGAACATGCAACAAAATTTCCTTTACAATTGTTCACCCTCAGTGGAAAATACTGGATCTGAAAGTTCAACCCTGTCAACAGGAAACAAGTTCTTCCAGCTGTTCCACACCTTTTGCATTCTGTTCAGGTACTAAATTTATTGATTTTGTAGTGATTATTATATCTTCTTCTGTTATTCTGATACAGTAACATACAATCTAATGATTTACACTGATGGTTTGTGTCAGCACATGTTGAATCCTCTTTGTTGTTTTGTTAATATAGCTGCTTCACCCGAAGGTGTTTTATCTGCTGCTTTATAATCTTGTCATTCTCAATTTTTTTTGTGCCTTCTGGATCAGAAGTTATCATCTGACTAACTAATAGGCATTATGACCATTAGGGTGATATATTTTCTGTTTAGGAACAAAACTCTTTTGTATTGTGAACTTCTTGTTCATGATATAGGAATTGTCAGATTTTTCAACTGCTTACTTTCTGGCATTTTTTTCTTTGTTTTTTTCCCATTTCATTTTTTTTGCCCCCCCTCTCTTTTTTCAGAGGTAAAACACATATTCTCTTCCAATTTTATTATTTAAGCAAATATCACCTGCTGATTCTTCCTTTAGGTTGAGGGGACCTTTCCCGACGGGACAAAGTTAATCACTATCCATGATGCAATAGCTAGTGAAAATGGAAATCTGGAGTTGGCTTTAGATGGTTCCTTCCTTCCAGGTAAGGATTCTTGTATGGTTTAATCAGCAGTACGAGATCTGTATTCATGAATGATTTTTATTTTTATTTTTATTTTTTGAAAAGTAGTCTAAGAAAATATTACAAAGTTTTAAACTAGTACATGCATTTGTAGCTGAATGACATTGATGCATGGAATTATTTTTACTTTTTGAAGGATTTTGGGCATTAACATGCTTTCAAGTTGTTTGTCCATTGGACTTATTGAGATTGATGCTTCCTGTCCGTCTTGTGTATGAAGTGATTTTCTGAACAACAATGTGAAGCCACTTATTCATGCAGTGTGGTGTTCTACGTTGAACAATGAGAGTTGTTCCTAATATTGTTTCTGAACACTTAAAACTTACCATGATGTTAAAGAAATGAGAAAGGCTATGGTATACACTCCAAGGTGTGTACCATATGTACCTTATAACTAAAGAAGAAAATAGCATAATTTCATACTTTTTTGAGTCATAACTAAAAAAAAAAAAAAATTATCATAACCAAACATGACATGAGGCATGACTTAAGAATTCATGAGTCATAACTAAAATAATGTCATAACTAAAGAAGAAAATGACATAACTAGGGGTGCATATGGTGCACTCCTTTCAAGGGTGTGCATGTTAGAATTTCCCTAAAGAAATGCTTACTAGCCTTGTCACTCTCAGCTTCTTGAAAATGGTGTGGCAGTGGTCTGTTTCTTAGTTCTTTATAGGCAAGAAGTAGAAGAGAAGACCTTGTATAAAAGTTTGCACTAACAAGCGAAATAATTTACCTGACTAAAATCTTTGTTGTGTGTTTCTGCATAATATGTACTACCATACTGCTCTTCCGCTTAATGTTTGAAGTAACATAGACTTGGATATAACATCAAGCTCTAAAACATGTTTACAGTTGGCTTGGATAAAAGGTAAAAAACAATTGTAGTTTTAGTTAAATCATTGAGAATTGAGATTGAGCAAGTCAGGCAATAGGCTAAGAAGCACGGATATGAGCACGGAGATGGCCGCCACAGGACATGGTGATTTCAAAAAAAATCAAGACACGGACACAATGAGTATATGGCTTTTTTTGCTATGTATATAAATATTACATCCATAAACAACCAAAATTAATGAAAACTAACTAATTTCACATTAAAAAAAAAATAAAAAAAAAAACCTAAATTTTAATCAACAAGAGACTAGATTTGTATTGTGTTAAGCTCCATGAATCGTCAGAAGCCAATCTCTCAACTTTACCACTGTTTAGATCTGTGTTGTGTAGTTGATGGTTTGATATGTGTTCTATATTTATTTTTAAATTCAACCCTTATGTTTTGTAGATATTATAATATGACCCCCAAAATTAGATTTGATAAATTAAAATAATGGCCTGCCATGTCCCGAAGCATGTCCCTCTGTGTCCCCATTATCTAACAATTAAAGCTTTTAAAGCTACTGTTTGTCAAACAACACTAGTAAAGAAGAAGGAATCTATCCGGATTGTTTTGTTACAATCCTGGATTTTGTCCCCTTGACATTTATTTTCAAATGGCCAAGCTTAATTTCTTGATTTTGCATTTTGCAGAATTCTTGCATATATGCTTAATGTGTGAAAAATTAGTAGACTACGCACACTAGCTTCTACAAACACTATCAGAGTGAAACACATTTTGTATAAATTGGTTGCTTATTTGTCTCTGAACGGCATTGATGGAAGAATGTTGGTTCTGCAGTTCCCTCACTAGACAAATTTCTCCTCATAGTAGATGACAGAATCCCTGGTGAGCTAAGGTATGGAGCCGGATGTATTACCCTTAATCATGGAAGGAAAGCTGTAACCCTCAAAGTCACTAGCACAGGAGACAGGCCAATTCAGGTGCTTGGCTTAAACATATGTTTCCTTATTTTTGTGGCATCTTTACTTCTTTGTTTTTCCCCATTCTGGTTTATCCCACTTGACAATGCTAAAATCTCTACTTGATTAAGCATGTTAGAACCATACACTCTATTATTAAGCTTACATTTCACTCGCAACTTGAGAAGTTTGAATGTGCAACTTAAGTGTGATTCCTTTAAATACACATTGAACTTATCATACTGAACAAAAGTGCTTTGCATATTTCTTGATTGTTTGACAGGATCTTGCCGTCATATAAACAATGCTGTAGTCAATCTCCTGGTTATAGCTTACTAAGGTTTTTGCAGAAAAAGGAAGTCTAGGCTGTTGGTGGAACAAGTCTAAACCATTTGAATTTGTTGTTTTAGCCCTCTTGAGGTCTATTTGATAAGATCTTGATAATTCACATAAAGAAAGCACTTGGTGCCAAATCAGATGTTAAATAGTTTTTGCTGCAATTAATTTATACTTCCTTTCCCTTTCATGCTAATTGTCATTTGCAGCATTCACATTTCATGGAGTCAACCTATTTCAAGGATTCCAATCAGTGTTATAGTGTCTGCTGAAATAATGTGATGTTTCTGATTTCTGTCTATATTTACCTAATCAACAGTTCATGCTGTTATATTCAAGAGAAATCTTTTGTGAAGATAATGGTGATTTTTAAAATCATTCAGGTTGGCAGCCACTATCACTTTATTGAGGTGAATCCCTTCTTAGTTTTTGATCGAAGCAAAGCACATGGCATGCGGTTGAATATACCAGCAGGAACAGCTACGAGATTTGAGGTAGGACCTTTTAACCTCATCTGATTTAAATTTGGATTGTACCTGTACGATGCTTCCTAAAACAATTTAGAATAAGTTGAGATATTAATTTTATGTTTCATTTTTATACGTGCATAGTCTTTTGCCTGGAAGTATTTTAACCAAACCAAACCAAGCCAAGTCTTAAGTCCCATCAAATGGAGTTGGCTACATGAGTCCTTCTTCTCCACTCAACTCTATCAAAGGCCATTTGGTTAGTCAAATTAAAGAAATTCATATCTCTGTTTACTACACTAGGCTACGTCAATCTAGATCTATCCCTTCTCCTAATACTTCCCTCTATCGTCACTATATTGCATCTCTTCACTGCTGCATTTGTTTGTCTCCGTTGTATATGACCAAACTATCTCAATCTATTCTTTTTCAACTTATCTTCTATCGGTGCTACTCCTACCTATTCGCAAATATACTCATTTCAAACTCTATATTTTCTAGTCTTGCCACAAATCCACCTTAACATTCTCAACTCAGCAACACTCATTCAATTTACATGTTGTTTATTAATTGTCCAACATTCCATCCCATACAACATTACTGGTCTAATAGCCGTTCTATAAAACTTTCCTTTTAATCTAGTGAGTATTCGTTTATCGCATAGTACCCCAGATGCACTCCTCCACTTAAGCTACCCGCCTTAATTCTATGGATCACATCTACTTCAATCTCCCCAGTCATTGTCATAATTGATCCTAAATAACAAAAAAATTCACTCTTAGGCAGTTCTTGATTCTCAATCTTCATTTCTCCTCCATTTCCATTATTACTATTACTAAAATTACACTCCATATACTCTGTCTTAGTTTTGCTTGTTCTAAATCCTTTAGATTCAAGTACTTCTCTCTAAGTTTCCAACTTAGTGTTAACTCCTTCTCTAGTCTGATCCACTGACACGATATCATCTGCACAAAGTATAAACCATGCAACATCATCCTGAATATTTCTGGTCAACTCATCCATAACTAAAGCAAAAAAATAAGGATTTAAGGTTGATTCTTGGTGTAACCCCACAGTAATTGAAAATTCACTTGCCTCTCCGGCCGGCGATCTAATAGTGGTCACCACCACACCTTCATACATGTCCCTAATCATATCAATGTAGCTTTTTGTCATCCATTTCTTATCTAACACCCACCAGATTATATCCCGAAGCACTCTATCATATACTTTTTCAAGATCGATAAAAATCATATGAATGTCTCTTTTATTTTCTCTATACTTTTCTATTACTCTCTTCAAAAGATAGATCGCTTCCATTGTTGACCTACCAGGCATAAATCCAAATTGATTCTTTGACACCTCTGTTATATTTCGCAAATAACATTCCATCACTCTCTCCCACACTTTCATTATATGATACATCAACTTGATTCCTCTATAGTTGTTGCAATTTTAGACATCTCCTTTATTCTTATAAATTGACACTAAAATACTCTTCCTCCACTCCTCTGGCATTTTCTTAGTCAACAAAATCTTGCTAAATAACCTAATCAATCGAGCAACCCCCTTCTTACCCAAACATTTCCAATCTTGAATCCAAATTCAGCGTCGACGAGGTAGACATGTATTTAAGATTAATCATTTCCTGTGGCACTAGAGAATGATGGATGGTGTGGGCACTTCCTTCTTCTTCTGACAAGTGGAGTGGGGACTTTCTATTGCAATGTTCTGTGATCATTATATACCTCTTGAATATAAAGAACTCTATAAGATAGTTTTTGGACCTGGTGAAGCTATATGGTACAGAATGATCGGAAATTTTGTAACATGTCCCTAAAGAATGAAATTGAGATGAAAATAGAGGGATGGGCGTGTAGAAAGATGAATGATAATAAAACTAGAAATGGACGTTGTGAAGAGAATTGAAGGGTACCATCATTTGCAAGCATGAGAGAGGAAATAGTCTAACCTGATTCAGTGATGTGAAATGTGACCTCTGACTGCACTAATAGGTGGGAGTTAAGTGGTTTAATTGGGAAGTTCTCTGAGAACAAGATGAAGGCCAGAAGAACATGGGTTAAGGTTATGAGAACAACATGACTTGCTATATATAAGGAGAGGTGTCCTAGAAAAAGCATAATGGCCATGGATTAAGGAACAGAGAATTGGGTTTATGTCCTTTTACTTAATATTGGGTTGATCAGACCTTTGAACAAATTAATCTAGTTTCTTTGCATTGTTACTGATTGATTTGTTCTCATTTCGCATCTTACTTTACACTTTAATCTGTCCCATGTAAGGATTTAAGGATTGTACCATTTTTTGTTTTGGTTGGCCAGCCAGGGGATAAGAAAAGTGTTACTCTTGTAAGGATTGGAGGTAAGCAAGTGATCAGAGGAGGAAACAACATTGCTGATGGTCCTGTTGATGATGCCAATGTCACATCAGTGATGAAAGCTGTCCGCACAAGAGAATTTAGGCATTCTGAAGAGCCAAATGCCAGGTTTAGAAAATTGGCCAAGCAATTTTTTACTTCTTGTTTTCATGTTTGATTCATATTACTTGAAAATTAGATTAGCTTCTCTGCCGCAATGGTCATGGATAAAATAAATGCCTTGAAACTGATTTTGCAGTGAAGGTGTCATTACGGAAGGAGGATCTTTTACCTATACAATTTCTCGTGAGGCCTATGCTAACATGTATGGTCCTACTGTCGGTGACAAAGTTCGGCTCGGTGACACTGATTTATTTGCAGAAATTGAAAAAGATTTTGCAGTTTATGGTGATGAATGCGTATTTGGAGGTGGAAAAGTTATAAGGGATGGAATGGGGCAGGCTTCTGGATATCCAGCTGCTGACTGTCTAGATACTGTTATTACAAATGCTTTGATAATTGATTATACAGGAATTTTCAAAGCAGATATTGGAATTAAAGGAAGTGTAATAGTTGCCATTGGCAAAGCAGGCAACCCAGATGTCATGGATGGTGTATCGGACAACATGATTATTGGGGTGAGTACTTTGTCACACCGTAGTGACAATGGTGGAGGTATGATAACACATCAGGTTAACACTAATGCTTCCCTCTATTTTGATCAGGTTAACACTGAGGTCATTGCTGGAGAAGGAATGATTGTAACAGCAGGGGCAATAGACTGTCATGTGCACTTCATCTGCCCTCAATTGGCATACGAAGCAATATCAAGTGGTGAGATTTCTACATCTTTGAGAGTTACTTGGTCGGGAAGTTTTTGGTGAAAGTTTATATATATTTTTTTGTAAGTAAAAATTTATCTACTCTAATACACGGAGTATATTATTCAAAATTGAATAATTATATTTACAGGTTCAAGTTATTTCTATCACATCACCTCCTAAACCTCAACATTGATTCTTACTTTGCAACCTCTTAAACCTAGAGTAAGGATAGTTCTTAATTGACCAAAGTGTTTGTTTGAGAGAAAACTAACTTAGAGAATGATTAGACAATCACCCCCTTTTGTATTGATAACACGTAGCTTACAGTAGAAACCTTAGAGGCACAAATAAGGAAATAACAGAATAAGGAAATAACAACTAATAGAATAAGAAAGTCCTAAGGCACTAATTAAGGAATCAACATATAATCTAAATAAGGAAACAAATAATAGAATGATCCTAATATATATTTTAACACTCACCCTCAAGCTGATGTAAAGATATCTCTCATGCCCAGTTTGCCAAGAATATCATGAAATGGTTTACTGCCAACTCCCTTGGTGAGAATATTTACAAGTTGTTCACATGACTTTACAAATGGAGTACATATTGTGCCACTAGTGAGCTTCTCTTTGATGAAGTGACGATCACTCTCAACATATTTTGTCCTGTCATGTTGAACAAGATTGTGGACTATGTTAATGGAAGCCTTATTATCACAATATAGCCGTATGGAGTCTTTCTAGTCAATTCCCAGATCGTGAAATAATAACTTGATCCATAAGAGTTCACACACACCTTGTGTCATAACTCTAAACTCAGCTTCTGCACTAGACCTGGCAACGACATTATGTGTTTCTTACTTCTCCAAGTAACCAACTTGCCTCCAACAAAAGTACAATGCCTTGAAGTGGACCTCCTATCAGTTACTGATCTTGCCCAATCAGCATTTGTATAAACTTCCACACTAAGATGATCATGTTTGGCAAAATAAAGACCTTTTCTAGGAGAAGATTTCAAATATTTCAAAATTCTCATAACTGCCGCCAAGTGTATTTCATGAGGAGCATGCATAAACTAACTAACCATACTAACGACAATAGCAATATCAGGACGAGAATGGGCCAAGTAAATAAACTTGTCTATTAGTCTTTGATAACTCCCCTTATCAACGGCTACTCCCCCACTATCATCACAAAGTTTCTAATTAGGTTCTAGTCTATGAAGCACAAGTACGGATATGAGTACTAGTATTGGTACGATACAGGGTACGTCGATACGGTAAAATCTAAAAAAAATAAGGTACGGGTACAACTTGGTACGCTTGTAAAAAAATATTTCTTTTTAATTTAAAGTAATGCAAAAATTAATTAAATGGTTTAATTTGTTGAGATCCAACCTATAATTAACACTTAATGCCAAAAGTAAAGGTATAAATCAAAATTAAATGTCAATATATTAAATAACTTACAAATCATAGTTTAATTTTAAAATTATACTAAGCATAAAACTAAAAATAAAAAGAAGTTTAATGACAAGAGTTTTATCTCTGTAGTAGAAAAAAATATTGTTTCAATTGAGGTATGGTACAACTTGGATATATACTAGGTATGTCTAGGTATGCCGAAAATTAAGAAGAAAAAATTTAGGTACGTGTTTTGTGTACCTGGTATGTATGTAGAAGCACCATACGAGGTATCATATGCCGGTAAGTACCCGGTACGGATATGGTATGTTTTTCGAAGTACCCATGCTTCATAGGTTCCAGTGGTGTGTCACAGGCTTTACTTCCAAGCATCCTTGTTTCCTTTAACACGTCAAGGACATATTCTCTCTGACAGATAAAAATCCCATCTTTAGACTTAGCCATTTCAATCTCTAGAAAGTATTTCAAGTTTCCCAAGTCTTTGATTTCAAATTCACTGGTCAAATACTTATTCAACAAAGGGATTTCCTTAACATCATCTCTTGTAAGCACTATGTCATTCACATATACAATGAGAGTTGTAGTCTTACCATGAGAGGAATGTTTAACAAACAGAGTATGATCAGTCTGACTCTGTTTGAAGTTATATTTTAGCATTGCCAGAGTGAATCTCTCAAACTAAGCCCCAGGGGACTGTTTGAGGCCATATAATGACTTTCGAAGTTGACACACCTTACCTTTAGTTTGAAGAGTTTCAAAGTAATGAGAAATGTTCATATACACCTCCTCTTTTACGTTACCATGCAGGAAAAGCATTCTTCACATCAAACTGATGAAGTGACCAATCCAGATTAGCTGCCAGAGAAAAAAGTACTCTAATTGAATTCATCTTTGCAATAGGAGCAAGTGTCTCTTGGTAGTCCACCCTATAGGTCTGAGTGAAACCCTTTGGTAGTCCACCCCATAGGTCTGAGTGAAACCCTTTGCCACAAGTCGAGCCTTATACTACTCAATTGAACCATCTGCATTGTGCTTCACAGTATACACCCATTTGCATCCCACAGTTCGTTTGCCCCTAGGTAACTCAGTCAAATTCCAAGTGCCATTCTTATAAAGTGCTTTCATTTTCTCCACCATAGCCAGTTTCCACTTAGGAATAGTAAGAGCATTCTAAAAATGGTTAGGTATGCTAACAGAGGAAATTTTTTACGCAAAGGCTTTATATGAAGAAGACAAATGAGAATAAGACACAGTTAGAAATAGGATGATGAGTATAAGATCTCACACCTTTTTTTCTTGGCAATGAGGATATCAAGATCAGTGGGCTCAGACTCAGAGGTAGTAATATCAAAAGGTTCAGGGATACCTGAACCTTCATCAAGAGAAGGAGACGGCAGTGACTAATTAGAAATGATCTTTTGTATCAAAGTAACTTTCTACCTTTCTTTATCCTTGACATAGACTTACCCTTCTCTGTTCTTGGCAACATTGAATTTTGTTTTGCTAGTAATAGATATCACTGAAGGTGGTATTGGGTTAGGAACAATAGGAGCAATAATAGGTACCGTTGGTGGTGGTATTGGATCAGGAATAATAGAAGCAATAGGAGTCTCTTCACTCCAAGACTCCCCCTGAAGAGATGACTGGGACACTAGACGGGGCAAGAAGTAGGATTGAGACTTAAAGAAGGTGACTTTCATGGACACAAACCATTTATGAGAAGGAGAATGATAACACTTGTACCCCTCTTGAGTAGGAGAGTAACCTAAGAAGAGAGAACGAGGATCCAACTTACCTCGAGAAGGAGAATGATTATGAACAAAACAAACACATAGCCAAAGGCTTTTGGAGGAATGAAAAATATAGACTCAGAACCTAAGAAAACTTGAAGAGGTGCAACTTTTTTTAAGACTTGTGTAGGAAGACGGTTAATGAGCTCGGCCCAATAGGCCCAAGGTACGCCCATAGAAAATAATAGAATCGACATTAAAAACCTAACGCCTTTCTAAATGAATGCGGTCGAGTATATTGTTGATTTCACCACCACATTATTCTCCTCTCTACATGTTAGGACTTGTAATAGACACTTGTTATGAGAAATTAATTTCTTTTATTATATTTTGTCCAAAATAATTTAATTTATAAAAATAAAAAAACACTAGAGGGGATGGCCTTTTTTTTATTTATTTATCTGATTCCCATATTTCTAAAGTCTGTATAAATGGTCTGTGTTAAAGTGATATTGACCAGCACAACAGGTCATAAATATTTCCAATTGAATACACCACATAAAATACAGGGACAAAAGTTGATGCCATAACATTTTCACTTCAGAGCTGAATAGTTGAGAACTATGTAAGACGCATGATAAGAACGAAAGAAATAATACTCCAATCCACAATCTCTTTGGTAGGCTGGACACACTAAGGATCTACCTTAACATGAAATTAGAGAAGATATCAAATGTTAAAATTCACCTACTACACACCTACCACTACCACCTACTACACACTCACCTACTTCACCTACTCTCCACCTACTCCTCACCTACTACACACTCACCCTCTTCTATATATAGGAATCATGAATCATTGTAATAAAGCAAGTTCAAGCATGGTGACTCTCAATAGCCACTGAATTCTCAGTAGAGTCTTTCACTTTGAAGTCTCAGTAGAGTCTTTCAGTGACCAACTATCCACATTTTTTTCCCTAAATTTTTGTCTCCCTATCGCTTAGATTATGTTTGAACATACATGGATTTGATTCACCGGCGGGCGGCAACCTCGCCTTGGCCGCCCGCCGGACCTCAACCTATTCCGCTGTCATCTCTATCACACCCATCACTAAATATACCTTATATTTTCCAGCCATAGCAGCCAATCGATGAACTTCAGGTCCATGCACATCAATGTGTCGATGGAGTTTTGTTTATCTGATCTTTTGGTGTTTCTCTTTCCTTGTAAAAATCAGGTAGTGGCCGGGCTTTGAAGCAGAAGCTTTGCCGCAATTTTCTAAGTTCTGTTCCTGCTTTCTCCTTTAATCTTGTCTGCAGCTGCACTTTTTGTGTGTCCTTAGCGTTGAATTTTTCTTCAAGCTTCTGTTTTCTCCTCGCTGCTCTTTCCTTCGTCCTCAAGCTGAAAGGAGTGGATAAAGTTGGTGACTGCAATTTGTTTCTGCACGAAGATCTTGTTGTTCTTCTTGGAGACGGTTCGGAGGACAGTGGCTGTGTACTAGGACCCTCTGAAACCCTCGTCTTCGAAGCTCAGCGAAGAGGTCGATGCTTTCCACAACGACGGTTGGTGGGAGGGTATTGTCACTGCCATTCTCCAAGATTCTAGATACTCTGTTTTCTTCAGAAGTTCCAGGGAGCAGATTGATTTTCCTGATTCCGATCTGCGCTTACACCGTGAGTGGGTCCACGGGATTTGGGTTCCCCCATTGGAACAACAACCTCCTCCTCCTCAAGAACAAGAATAAGCCCCGTCTTCTTAGTTTCATTTCAGGTTGTTGTGGACCGAAAATCATGGCTGCCTCTGGAATTTCGGGGCATTTTTATTGGATTTTCATGGAGAACCATTTCTGATGATCCTTGTCATTGCATCTTCCATTGCTGTGTGGTTTATCTAGATCTGGACATGCTTTTCTTGAGCTGAATTCACTACATAAACCCATCTCTCTCTTCTCTCTCTCGACAACACCAACCCCATTTTACTTTTCTTCTCTTATTTCTTTATTTTTTCTTTTACTTCCTTTATGAGACTCAGAGTGTGTAGACAAAAGATGCATAAGAAAAGCAACAAAAGATTCTTCTTGTTGCAGGTTTGTGTTGGTGACAGCTGTGGGATATGAACCCACGCTCATATGACCCATCCCCAAATATTTTTATCTATTTTCTTTCTCCGTTGTTTTATTTTATTTTATTTTATTTGCCTTTTCCATCAATATTTCCTTATTCTACAACTCGTTAGTGAGTATCACCCTTTTTCCATTATCTTATTATTATTTTTTATATTCCCCCCAAAAAAAAAAAAAAAAAAAAAAATCACACCGATGTTTTTCATATGACCCATCCACAAATATTTTTATCTATTTTCTTTATCCATTGTTTTATTTTCTTTTATTTTTATTCTTAAACAAAATAACAACACCACCAACATTCCACAAACTTGTCATTTCTTCATGCCGGGGATCAACCCCGATCACAATTTTATTTACACCAAAAAAAAAAAACAAAAACAAAAACAAAATCAAACAAAACAAAACAACCACATCCACAGGCGGGATTTTTTTTTCTTCTCTACTCTGCCGCCGGTCTCTTCTTCTTGCCTCCGTCCTGGGCGGCCCTTGCCGGTGTTGTCTCCGTGTTTCCCACTCCACTGGGCATGATCACTACTCCCTGCTCCTCCACTGCAGCATATGGCGGCCCTCCAAATCGGAACATCACGGTGGCCTTCCGCTTCAGCTCCTTGTTTTCTTCAACTCCATTGACAATTAAATTGTCGGCAAATTGTGCTGCAATGCTCGTAACAAAAATAGAAGCCAATGGAGGTAGCACAGAAACCTGAAATAGAAAAATACAAATAAAGAAGTACAAATTAATTACAGTGGAAGTCTTCTTCATGTAGGACCTTGAGCCATGGAAAATTCATTTTTCCTCGATTAAAAGAATGTGACATAGGAATAGAAAACCAATCAGTGTGTTTGGTTTTAGTTTTCTGAATTCAATTTTCTGAAAACTGAGTTTTTTGTTTTTCGTGTTTTTTTGTTTTTAGTGAATATTTTTTAAATTTTAAGTAATTTTTTTACTTTTTTAGATGCACCTTACTTAGATGTATCTAAAAAATAAAAAAACCCCCATACAGTGTCCTCTACAACGTTATGACACCCCCATACAGTGTCCTCTACAACGTTATGACACCCCCATACAGTGTCCTCTACAACGTTATGACACCCCCATACAGTGTCCTCTACAACGTTATGACACCCCCATACAGTGTCCTCTACAACGTTATGACACCCCCATACAGTGTCCTCTACAACGTTATGACACCCCCATACAGTGTCCTCTACAACGTTATGACACCCCCATACAGTGTCCTCTACAACGTTATGACACCCCCATACAGTGTCCTCTACAACGTTATGACACCCCCATACAGTGTCCTCTACAACGTTATGACACCCCCATACAGTGTCCTCTACAACGTTATGACACCCCCATACAGTGTCCTCTACAACGTTATGACACCCCCATACAGTGTCCTCTACAACGTTATGACACCCCCATACAGTGTCCTCTACAACGTTATGACACCCCCATACAGTGTCCTCTACAACGTTATGACACCCCCATACAGTGTCCTCTACAACGTTATGACACCCCCATACAGTGTCCTCTACAACGTTATGACACCCCCATACAGTGTCCTCTACAACGTTATGACACCCCCATACAGTGTCCTCTACAACGTTATGACACCACCATCCAGTGTCTTCACCAATGGTCTGACACGACCATACAGTGTCTCCTATCCATTTTTTATTTTTCAGATTATTTTCTTGTTTTGTTACTCTCTCCAAACTCAAGTTGGTTAGTTCCTATCCCCCTTGAGTTTGCGGGGGGCTGTTAAAATGCACCTACTACACACCTACCGGCTACCACTACCACCTACTACACACTCACCTACTTCACCTACTCTCCACCTACTCCTCACCTACTCCATACCTACTACACACTCACCTATTCTCTTCCCACATCCTCTCTTCTATATATAGGAATCATTGTAATATATCAATAACATCAATCAATAATACATCAATTTTAACATATTTTGCCAATCCAGAACTTAGTTGCATGAAGCGGGAGCGAGAGTGGAAGCGGGGGAACGTGGCCACATGGAGGAGTCGTAAATTAAGAGCGCTTATGTATTATTTTTATCCATACCTACTACACACTCACCTATTCTCTTCCCACATCCTCTCTTCTATATATAGGAATCATTGTAATATATCAATAACATCAATCAATAATACATCAATTTTAACAATCCTCAATTGATAATTTGATTAAAAGGAAACAATTGCATGTTAACTGGTACCACATGCAAGAAAGACAGGGAACCGGTAAGCTACCTCCTTAGGAACTGTGAGGTCGGTGTGCCATGGGTGTTCCTAGGCCAATAGGGGCATTGTTTTGTTCTTAGAGAGTAGTTAGAGTGCATAGAAGGAAGAGGAAGGCTTGGTGTTTAGTCCCCATGGCTTTGACGTAATTGATTTGGGGGGAAAAGTAAATAATTTTCAATGGTAAAGAAGAGAGCCTTTCATTAAATTGAAGGGTAGACCTTTTTTTATATTATATATATTTGGTTTTGGGGGTGACTAACCAATTTCTGGCCTTTGAATAGGTTTTGATGTATGTTGGGATAGTTTTCTTTTGTATACAGGTTGCACCCCCTTGGTGCCACTTGAATAAAATATTTTGTTTATCCTTTATGCCACAGAAGGAAAGAATAGAGAGTATTTCTCCATTCTCCCAAGAAATGGAGAGTAAGCGACATCAAGAAACCAATACCATTCACCCAAAAATAAGAAATCAATACTGTCTCAGGGGTCAATACCTCATCTCTTGTCTTTGACATCAACTCTTTCCGACTTTTCTTTTTGTCATTCTCTTGACTAGGCTCCTCAGAATTCTTTCTCTTTTTATTTTTCTTGTTTTTGAATTTATTATCTGCCTTTGACATTTCAGTCCTCCCAATATCCTCATCAAACGACAAAGACATGAAAACCTGAGAAAGCATAGAAAAAGGAGAAGTGAATACAGTATGTGATAATCAAATAAAATTAAACGGCCAAGCTCTTTCATCACACAAAACTACTTCATGGAGTAAGATATTGCTCCACTATTCCTCACATCAGCCCATGGGCACATACCTCTTCCCACCAATAATTAATCTACATCAAATGCTTCTCCAAAGAATACTTTTGTAAATATGTGTCCAACACCACTCTAGACACAAACAAACATTTCTATCAATATATGTCGACCAATGTTTTCTTATTAGAACAAACACACAGGATTCATCTCCTAATCAAGTGCCTCTGGGGCACTTGTTAGCATGACCCATGCATTAATTCCTCAGCCGAGGTTTTCTCTTGGCTGACCTATGAAATGCTCTTTTCAACTAGTAAACAACTCATTATAATTATTCAACATAAAAATATACATTGTTGTTGCACAACATAAATTTGGCAATGCTTCTTTTATCCACAAACTGTGTGATGGATAAATTTCCAATCAAAATAACGAAGTTGTCCAGGCTGTAGTATATAACTATTGAACCAAATTATTAGACCCCCAAGACAATTGCCTCCGCTAAAATGAGTCAATTTCGGCCAATAGCAAAGAAACAAGGGCCAAGGCATTCTCCAGGGATACGCCATAACAGTCAGCTTTTCAAGAACATACACCACTCATCTACGTCTTGTGCTCATATTTAACATTTTCTCTAAAATGTAAGACACTATCCCCAACCACAAAAAGCCAAACAATGCACAGCACCACAAAAACACAATCGGGAAAAAAAGTGAAGTACAAAGAACAAATATTCCCTTGAACAAGACATCTGATTCTGCAAAGTTGAGCGTGAACAAAAAAAAAGAAATCAATCGGCTTACCATAGACAGTGTCCGACGGAAGAATGTATACTTTTTATGAATACATGACATAAAACAGTGAATGGCAATGACACTGTAATGTCCCATTTCTGTATTTGGTCATAGCACCATTCTTTTAGTGCTGTACTCAAGTAGGTTGATATTGACAATACAAAAATCCATTCCAATAATGAACCAAAAAAAAAAAAAATTTTATAAATTATAATTTTTATCATATATAATAAAAATATATATATTTATTGGCGTACCGCAGCCGTACCCGTATCATACTTTTTTAAATTTTGACGTATCGACGTACCCGCACTCGTACCCGTACCGTACTCGTACCCGTACCTGTGCTTCATAGCAGAACAGGCTGGTGCAAAGAGAGACACAAAAATAGATGCAAAGACACAAACTTCATACAGAGACAAGCACATGCACACACAACAAATATGCAATAAGAAAAATAAAACGAAATACCTGAAGGACACAAAGTCCTTCAAAACAATGAAAAGAGATGATGATAAACATAAGATTGGAACAAAACATAAAGGGGCTCATATCATCTAGAGTATTCTCAAAAAAAAACAAAGTAGCACGCAACAATGTTCAGAAATAAACTAGATTAACCTTTATGATTTATACTCAATTCAACTTTTAATAGTTCATGTCAAACCTAAATGATGCAAAACCAAGTTTATAATTAAAATTATGGATAGAGTGATAGGAACACCAATACACAGGCAACCAACTGGGAAATTAGATACCTCAATGGAATCAGGATGTAATTGGCAATCATAAACTTTCACATGCTCTGCAATCAATTGAACTGCCTCCACAATAGCCTCACCACCATGCTTTCCCTCATTTATAAAAAGAGACTTTACAGTGGCACAACAGAGTTTCCTGTCACCAAAAACCATGCAATCTTATGTGGCAAAGATTTCATGCTGAGAATAAGTGCATCATTTTTTTACTTTTTCATTAAATTATAATATAAGGGCGAAGAGGGAAAGTTGAAACGTTAGATCCAACAGCACTAAGGCACAATACAAGCACCACCTTCAAAAGGGCCTAACTTTTGAAGGGGTGATGACACTTTAAATACTCATGGGAATCCTATACCGGTGTTGATGTGAAAGAATCAGACAATTTTTTTCACTATGTTATAATACAATGGGGAAGGGACAACAATGAACAATAACCTTTACTTTTTATATAATTAAAATAAAAAAAATAAAAAAATAAAAAAGGAAAGTAGAAATCACAAGACATATTTTGCAGCATGTGAGAAAAAATAATACCAAGTCAACTGTAGGTGTAGTTGAAGCGAGGTAATTTTGTTGGAGGAACCACAAAGGCATTAAATCCTCACAAGCAATTATGGGGTTATGGCTACACTGGCAATATCAATGCATGCTTTGGAAGCTGTAATGTGGTTTCAACTAGCGTTATGGTAGATAGATACTGTAAGTTGTTGGTGAGGAAAATCATGTGGACACGGGTAATAGAGTACCGTAGAATAAGGGGAGGTGATGGAAGTAAACCATTGATAACCATGATAGAAGCACACACAGTGTAAAGGTGGAGGTGGAAGTGGCAGAAGTTGCAAATGTTCATGAACGTTTTGGTTCCAGCAGTTGGGATGTCTGATTGGGATCTTACCATCCACTATCACGCCTTTGAAGTGGAATCCTCTTATTTAGCTGAGAAAAAGAACAAATTTTGGTCCCATATCACATTCATACCCCATTTATTCCCACTCACCCCACCTCATAGGATACACCATATGAAGGGGGGGAAAAAAAGAAAAAAGGCCAATTTCACCGCCATCATGAATGATCGAAATATCAAATTTGAGGACCATAATTTCAATAGTTGGAAGATGGTCCTACTGAAAACATACATGATCGGTATTCAAACCAGTGTCATAACTCTCATACACCCCAGCTTAAACAGAAGGCTAGTAAAGATGCTAACGCACTAAAAGATGTTTACAAAAAATGCTACACAGCATGTTTCCTCAATAACTGCCTGAAAATTTATGAAAATGGAAAATAAAGAATAAAGATATATCAAAACCTTACAACATCATCCGTAGAACTTATGTTCTTAATAACAGCAGCTAACAAGCTCTCACGATAGTTGAAGTGGGGAACTGAATCTAGCAAAGTACAGATACAACGAATAGCCACACGCTGAAATGAGGCCTGCTGTTCTAAGGCTATCAACCTCTGCAAGTATCCCTGCACATGTACATACGGAGAAAAACTTCAAAACAAGGAAGCAAATACCATAGCTAGAGTCCAAAGCTTAAATTAACATCAACACTCCATTTCCATTAGCCATTCACAAAGTGCCAAGCCGAACCTTGTATGTAGATAGGAGGGTGGATTCATAGTACCGCATTTTCTTAACAACCTTTGAAACAACCATTTCCTGCTCCTTCTCAGTGGGCAGCCTAATTCGATAGCTGTAACACACATTCAAAAAAGAGCAAAAGACTTGAATGGTAATGAAAACAGAAAAAAAATTAAAAAATAAAAAAAATAATAATAATAAGTTCATAGAACACTGCACACAGAGCACTATGGAAGGAAACTAAAATGTTTTACCCAGGTATAATGTCTTTGAAAACAGCCAATAAAGACTTTAGCCCAAGGACTGTTATAGCATGATCTCCATCTTTAGAGATTTGCAGCATTTCTTTAAGAGATTTGATGTTCGATTCTGGATCTGTAAGCAGTGCAGTTCCAAGTTCTGCCAGTTTATACTTCTTTCTTTCATTCGCTTCTAAAGCTGTGAGCTCTTTTTCCACCTCAGCCTATACAAAGGAAACAACCACTTTCATGCAATACACATTAATGGGAAAGAAAAAATAATTGAAGATAACTTAACTTCTTTGGCTGCAGACAAAGAAACACTAAACAAAAAGAAAAACGTACAACCAACAGAGTTGTTAAAAATAATAATAATAACAAATATAAATATAAGTAAAAAAAGCTATTACAAAACAAATATTCCAACAAATTCCTTATCATCAATGTTAGTCTCCAAGCGGCAAGATCACCAACATATCAGAACTTTGTATTTTGGAATCATAATCTTGATCACTAAAAAGAAAGACCATGCTTTCAAAGGCAATTATCAACAAAGCGTGAGATTTAAAGACTTTAAAACGCCGTTAGATCCTTCAAGTTCAAAAATAGAACGAAATCTGGAAAAGGAAAGTAAATGACAAATAATTCAAGCATATCAACACTAACATGCATTTCAATTCTTAAATGACAAATAGGTAATTATAGTACAATTCTTAATTATCTCATAACTATTGTGTGACAGCATAAACAAACATGGTAATTCAAGAAGTGGCAGACAAAGCATCTAACATGCATTTCAATGCCTCAAGCTACATTTCTTTTTTGTGTCTAATCGTGCACAATTACCAATATACCAAAAAAGTAAGTATCACTAGCATTTAGCAATAAGCTGCAAACGGATAAATACCAGCACTACAGCTTGAGGGGTTTGTTGCACTTCCTCTACATTTTCCACCTCCTTGGCTTGCTTCTTTGCCTCTTTTTTCATTCTTTTAAGCTTTGCCCGCTTTTCCGGTTTTGTCAACTTCACTAAACTTTTATCTACACCATCAGCCTCATTATCGCCAATGTCCTGGTCCCCACCGGTTACATTTTCAGAATGTTGTGATATCTTTGGCACTGCATTGCAAACAACAAAACCAAAACGTATGAACCTTCAAACCCAATCTATAATAAAAGACTTAGTGAAAAGACTAGTCCAAAAAAATAAAAGAGAGTTATAGCACACCTGTCCTGTAGACAAGTTTTCCATCTAAGGTCTTCACTGGAAGGGCATCTACACGATCAACTTCAAGCCCTTTTTGCTCACTTTCTTTCTCTAATGACTTCTTTCTTAATCTCTTCTCATATAGAAACTCCAAAGCATCTTCTTTTACATCAGCAACACGAGAAACATGCCTTTCAAAATACAACAAAATTAATCAGTTAGGCAAAGACAAAGAGCATCTCTATTTTGGGCGAACCGCTTTATCAAAACACACACGCAGGCACAAAAAAAAACTTACATGACAACCAAAATTCCATGCATGCATGCATAAATACATATACACATACATAATTAACTTTTATATCATACAAGTAAAAAATATAGTAAAATTAACTTAATTGGAAATGTACGATTTTTATAAATTGGTCAAGTTGCAATAATCAAAGTGCAATTTTTACAACCAAAAAAAAAATTTATGTAAAATAAAATTTAACCATGCATTACATACATATAAATATACAGCATTCAATTATACATATAAATCATTTTTCAATATGACTTGGAAAAATTATCATTGTTTGCTTAAATTTTAATGCCAAAGTGCTCAAAGATTTCAACTATTGATTTCAACATCTAAAAAGTTCAATACTCTAATGCTATGTTTGGTTGAGGGATTTGAGGAGAGATTTGGAAAGAGAAATAGAAAAGATAGGTGAAATGTGAAAAAAATATGCCTACATTTCACATAGTTTCACACACTTTTTCCCTTTCTCTTTCCAAATCCCTTCCTAAATCACCCAACCAAACACAGCGTAAACAAATTAGAAATTCTATCTCCATATGATCAAGAGGAGCTTTTGAAAATCAAATTATCAGCACAACAATAATCATTGGCAAATAAGTTTCCACACTAAAATAAACTTCTATGTGAGTTATTTTTCTTTATGCTCTCCTCAATTCTAGTTAGGCGGCTACATGGTTTAATCAACTGGCAATGCAAAACTCAACTTCTCCATTATAATGTACATTATATACTGATTCCGATTTTATTATTATTTCTTTTTTTATTTTTTTGTTAGTTGAAACAAATTAAAATACAAAAATGAAGAAGAAAACAAACAAAAACAGGAAGGAAAGAGACAAATGATTATGAAAGAACTGTATATGATATTAAAGAGACGCCACTATAGGCAATAGAAGTTGAAAATTAAGAACCTCGTGATTGATTTAGTATCCAAATTGGAGACGAAGCCAGCGTAGTCACGATTCTCGTTGACGAACTGCAAGTCCTCATCGGAGACTTCAATTTCGTCCTCAGAAACCTCCGGCGGAAGCTCCGGCGGCAGTACTATCTTCTTCCTCTGTTTCTTCCCCATTGTTGTTTGTGCTCCGATTCAATCCCTCCCTTAGGGTTTCTGCAACTGATTTAGCCAACTGGAATATCGGCGTTAGGGTTTAATTTAAACGGTTTTCAAGTTTCAATACCCCTCACATTTTGGAAATACTTTTTATATGTAGTATTTTGAAAGGAGATTTAGGCCCATTATAGATTAAGTTGGCCCAACTTTAATAGGGCAAAACGAAGGGTGATTCTATTTGACCCAAATAACAACTCAGTATGCTCAATTAAAATTTTAAAATTTTAATTCTTATTATATCTTAATATAATTTTACTAATAAGAACAATACACATTAAACCTTAAAATAAAATATTAATTTTTTCTCATGGTACACCCGAATCACTTAGAGATATTCTTCATATTCAACTCTCTTCATCTTCTTCACCAAGTGACTCCAAGAAAAATTTGGGCCTTTCATATCAGTTTAAGACAAACATAGTAAAAGCCCATTAAGAGACCAAATTATTAGACCCAAGTATCATAAACAGAAAACATAAAAAATACACACACAAAGACAACATTTCGAAGTTGTCTTCTCCAGCAACGGAACCATTTGGCCGACAGAAACATCGCAAGCCAAACCCACCGACTTTACACATATATGGAGTAAAACTTCCTTTGGTGCTTAAGTTATTTTTCAGCACTTCAAAATTACCATCAAAATGAAAACAAAACTATTGCAGTAAATTAGCCCAAACCCATCATCAAGTAATGCAACAACATGTTCGATATTTCCAGTAAACAACAGGTCAATTCCAAAAACAGAACTTTGAAAGAAAACAAAACTTTACATAAGTAAAGTAATCAAGAAATTTACTTATTACAATGCAAAGTACAAAGACTCAATAAAAATGACAACATGCACCATGTTAAATAAGCATAACCATGCTAATAAAACATATAAATAAGAAACAATGATAAAAATTAAATATAATCACATATATATCAAAGGATAGCTAGACCATCAACAATAGATTTAAATAAAAGCATGTAGATTGTTTATATATATATATATATATATACACCTCTACCTTCTCCGCAAACTTAGCGAAATCGAACACGGCTATAGGTCCACTGCCCGATCTCATACAACCATCAGCGATACCAGATGCTGCAACAATCTACAAAACATATTAAAACACTGTTTTAAACTGCCCCTTGTAGCAGCGGCAAGAATTATCAAATAAAGAGTTCAGTTGAACAAGAAAAACCAAAACCATGCAAATCATATTAGAAATGGCAGAACCTTTGCTTCTTTTTCCTTCGCCTTTACTTCAATCATGCAACACTCCTTTGAGGCCTTTTGATCACCTCGGATAGCTTCTATCCTCGTACCGGGGTGAAACTTGAGTAACTGGTGGAAGTTGAGGGTACTGCCCTTGTCTTATGAAGCCTAGCATTGTACGTAGAAGATACATCGATCACCAGAAAACTGTGTCTGTACTGTTACTGGCTCTACATAGATTAGAAGCGTCACCACCTCCATGGGTTGCACTGACGCCTCGTTGAATCCATGCAACACTGTACTGGTTGGCTTAAGGTCCTCCAGCTTCAGCTTGAGCATCTTGAACAAGTTGATGTACATTATATCAACAGCGATGCATGGATCCACAAGGATCCTGTCCACTAGGTGACCACCCACCTCTAAGGAGATCACTAGAGCATCGTTGTGAGGAAGATCTACCCCCTCTAAATCGGCATCAGAGAAGGATATCGAGGACTCAGAAGAACTTCCCTCACTTAGTGGTCTCTTCCCCCGAATACAGTTCACATGTTGCCTGTGCGAGGCTATCTGCACCAACATCCTCATATCCTTCTTGTTCTGATCCATCATTGCATGGATCACATTGACAACTTCGGGGGCAATTGCAATACCTCCACCATTGCATGGATCAGAACAAGAAGGATATGAGGATGTTGGTGCAGATAGCCTCACACAAGCAGCATGTGAACTGTATTTAGGGGAAGAGACCAATAAGTGAGGAAAGTTCTTCTGAGTCCTCGATATCCTTCTCCGATGCTGATTTGGAGGGGGTAGATCTTCCTCACAACGATTCTCTAGTGATCTCCTTAGAGGTGGGTGGTCACCTAGTGGACAGGATCCTTGTGGATCCGGGTAGCGCTGTTGACATAATGTACATCAACTTGTTCAAGATGCTCAAGCTGAAGCTGGAGGACCTCAAGCCAACCAGTACAGTGTTGCATGGATTCAACGAGGCATCAGTGCAGCCTATGGAGGTGGTGACGCTTCCAATTTATGTAGAGCCAGTAACAGTACAAACACAGTTTCTGGTGATCGATGTATCTTCTACGTAAAATGCTATCGTCGGTAGACCTTGGCTTCATAAGACAAGGGCAGTACCCTCAACTTTCCACCAGTTACTCAAGTTTCACCCCGGTACGGGGATAGAAGCTATCCGAGGTGATCAAAAGGCCTCAAAGGAGTGCTGCATGATTGAAGTAAAGGCGAAGGAAAAAGAAGCAAAGGTTCTGCCCTTTCTAATCTGATTTGCATGGTTTTGGTTTTTCTTGTTCAACTGAACTCTTTATTTGATAATTCTTGCCGCTGCTACAAGGGGCAGTTTAAAACAGTGTTTTAATATGTTTTGTAGATTGTTGCAGCATCTGGTATCGCCGATGGTTGCATGAGATCGGGCAGTGGACCTATAGTCGTGTTCGATTTCGCTAAGTTTGCGGAGGAGGTAGAGGTGTATATATATAAACAATCTACATGCTCTTATTTAAATCTATAGTTGACGGTCTAGCCACCCTTTGATATATATGTGATTATATTTAATTTTTATCATTGTTTCTTATTTATATGTTTTATTAGCATGGTTATGCTTATTTAACATGGTGCATGTTGTCATCTTTATTGAGTCTTTGTACTTTGCATTGTAATAAGTAAATTTCCTGACAAAATTTCTCTAGAACCAAAATTTCTCTAGTTTGGACATAATTTATTTAGGACTAGAATTTCTTTGGTTTGAACCATAATATCTATGATTGTATACACCTTAGAACCATACAAAACCTACAAACATAATGACTCTTGTACTTAGCTTATAGAAACCATATATTGTAATAAACAGGGCACATTTGGTTACTATTGATTCTTCTTACCATAATATGTATGGGAACTCACTGAAAAAGGTAATTTGTTCTTAATATCGTCACCGTCTCTTTTTATCGAAAATTCTTGTTATGATTTTTAACAAATTAAGATAATTGCAAGCTATAAAGAGTGAAACTTCAAGGAAATTTGAGCTTGCCCTTTTGACAATTCTACAATGTACACATAATCCTGCAAAGTGCTTTGCAAAGGTATTTATCCAATCTTAAGTTTTTCTTTTCTTATTAATGTAATTAGGACTTCTTAGGATGCATATATATATATATATATATATATGTGTGTGTGGTTGTATGTAATAGTTTTAGGGACTAGACTATCATTTGAGTCCTGAACAACTGGTTTTTGAGATATTGACTTGGGATTGTCACTTCCCAATTTCTTTGTTCTTCAACAATACTTTTATGCAATGCCACTAGAGGGTGTTTTTTTTTGTTTGTTGTGTTTTTTTTTTTTTTTTTTTTAATTTTCCTTATATATATATATATATATATATTAATTCATATGATCCATTATAGGGATTCAAGTTCAATCCATTGATAACTACTTTGGAATGTTACAGGTATTACATAAGGCGATGAAAGGATTGGGAACCGACAACACAACACTCATAAGGGTTATCATGACAAGAACTAAGATTGATATGCAATACATTAAAGTCGAATACCAAAAGAAATACAATAAATGAGGCAAAATCTTAAAGTCGAATACCAGAAGAAATACAATAAATGAGGCAAAATCTCTGCAGGTAATGATGCTATCTATCATTATTGACATGACATTAATGATAAACCAGAGTTTGAACCCAAGTGTTGCTTATCAATAGTGATAAACCAAAGTTTGAACCCAAGTGTTGCAAATTCTCTACAGGTTTGAACCCAAAGTAATTCTCTACAGGTAATGAGGCAAATTTCTCTAGGAATTTCTCTGATTTGGAGAAAATTTCTATGGTTTGGACAGAATTTCTCTTGTTTGGTCAAAATTTCTCTAGAATCAGAATTTTTCTAGTTTGAACAGAGTTTCTCTAGAAGAAGTCTAGGGAAATTCTTTGGATCGAATTTTCTCTGGATCGATTCAAGGAACCTTAGACATTATAAAATTATTGAATGTCCTTTATGTTATAAAATTTTCATATTAGGGATCTTAAAAAAAATTCCTTATTAAAATTGGTATACAATGATTATTAAAAGACTACATTAGTTACCTAATATTTATATTATTTATAGAATGTTATTGACAATTCTGCTAGCACTTATATAAGGAATTTCTTAAAAATTAAAATTAATAAAATCGTGTATAAGATCAACCACATCACAATTTTATATATATATGAACTAATGAATTAGCTATAATGCTCAAGAGAACACAAGTGATCAACTTAAATAATTTAATTAATTATTTTTTTGCTCACTCCACACACAAAAATTTATATATATATATATATATATTAACAAACATGAATGCAAAAGAATTTAATTATTAATATTGCATAAAAAACAGAAAACAAGTTTTAAATTAAAATATTAAAATGTATAAAATATATAAAAATTCTTCATTTAAATTTTGGTGTCTAAAAAGTTAAGCCATTTATGTCTCTCATAAAAAAGAGAACACAAGTGATCAATTTAAATAATTTAATTAATTATTTTTTTCATATAATTTTTTTATTATGACATTAAACTCGTGCCTTGCACAGGCCTTTTTGGTAACTAGTATATATATATATATATATATATTAGGCTCACCCGCTAATCTCGAATGCCAAATCACCCAAATAATTAAGGGAAAGATTATGGTGCACACTTTTTATGCATCTTATAACTAAAAAGGAAAATGATATAATTTTAATTTTTTAAGTCATAATTAAAAAAAATCATAATTAAACACAATATGAGACATAATTAAAAAATTCATAAGTCATAATTAAAATAATGTCATAACTAAAGAAAAAATTTGGTCATAATTAAATAATAAAATGAAAAATGACATAACTAGAAGTGAATATGATACATTATTTTTAAAGGGGTACACATTAGAATTTCCCAATAATTAAAACAACAAATTACATTGACGCCGTTAGAATAAAGGAAAAATTAGTAAAACATCCCTCTCCAACTTTGGATAGTATGAGAGGTCCAATATGTTTTTTTTTTTATTAATTAAGGTCCCTCGATGAAATTTCTCTGTGATAATACCAGATAAATTTTAAAATTTCTCTATGATCATATTAGAGAAAATTCTTTGTGAAAATCAAAATTTCTTTGTGTTGGGGCGAAATTTCTCTGCGTTGAATTTTCTATGTAAAAATGTTGAGAGGCCCTAACTATTATGAAAATATTGTATGTCTTTTATCTTATAAAATCTTAATATCATGAACTTTTTTTAAAAAAAATCCCATAAAAAAATAGAAATAATTACAAAAAAAGTTCCTAAAGCTTGAGTCTTATAATAAAATAAATCATAAGTTTTTAATTTAGTCAATTTAAATTCTAATCTTTTGAATTTTTTTTCAATTGACAAAAAATTAGAAATTCAGGATTTATTTTGTTATAAAACTTAAATCCTAATTTTTTTTTAATTTCCCCAAAAAATAATATTGTCATCTTTATACACTAAAATGTATATATATATTATTCTTATATTTTTACACCATCCATATATATTAGTTTTTCCTTTAACATTACTAAAATAAAAGGAATTATTTACACAAATACCCTTTAAATTATTAAAAAGTATCACTTTAAACTCGTAAATCATAAAAGCATATAAGTGGATCCATAAACTGTTGAAAAATATCATTTTGTCCCTTAAAATATAAAAGCGTACAAATAGATCCATAAACTATTGGCGTATTTCACTTTAACCCCTTTCATTAGGGAGTTCAATCTATACGTTTTTATAATTTACAAAGTGATACTTTTTAATAATTTAAGGGTCTATTTGCACACTTTTATAATTTAAGAGATCAAAATGATATTTCATAATAATTTAAGAGATACAAATAACCTAAATAAAAATGGAAATAATTATACCAAAATTATTGAACATATTATATTTTTTTCCAAACTTGAGAAACATGTCAATTGAATATTCCCTAATTAGTACAGTGTGACCGTGATGAATTAAAAATTGAGAAAATTACATTTCAGTCATTTTCTTACAAAATAATTATAGGCTTATAAAATATATATATATAACTTTTATTATTAATATTCATAAAATTTATTACTTATTTGAAATTATTTTAAAAAAAATTACACTAAATTGGAATTTTATCTTAAAAAAAATTAGGTGAATTTAATATATGTAGATTCTTTATCATATTTTATTTTCAAATCATTTCATCTTCAAAATTCTTTGAACACGGGCATGCAGAGAACTGAAGTCCGAACATGAAGAGAACCTGCCAGAAAAAGATTAACAATCTCAACAAAATACTAGAACCCACATCCGTAAATTCAACTATCCATTTACTTTGCCACTTGGGACAAAAATATAAGATCAACCTATGGTGATCAACTTCTCAACCAAACACTCCCCACTTTTAATTGATACATATAAATGCTATCCATACAAATACGTATCCGTAAATTCAACTATCCATTTACTTTGCCACTTGGGAATATTACAAGATGCTCTAAAACTCATCTTCTCTAACCCAACCCACTCGGATTATTCTCTGTATTCAAAAATTTTGCAGCTTTGCATCCACAGAAAGGCAAAAATGGAAGGCCGTTTGATTCATGGTCATCTTTTAACCAATGGGCTTTATTCAAATGCATATTTAAACACAAATTTATTTATATTCTATTCGAAGCTCAGTGACATGGTTAACTCCCGTAAAGTGTTCGATAGAATGTCTGAGAGGAGTTTGGTCACTTGGACAGCGTTGGTATCTGGGTATTCTCAAAATGGGGACTCAGAGGAAGCTCTTGTAGTGTTTTCAGCAATGCATAGGATTGGTGTTAATGTCAAGGCTAATCAGTTCACTTATGGGAGCACTTTGAGGGCGTGTACGAGTATGATGTGTTTGGACAGAGGGAAGCAAATTCAAGGATGTATTCAAAAGAGTAGACTTGTTAAGAACTTGTTTGTGCAGAGTGCATTGGTTGATTTTGTTGTTTAAATTGGGTAATTGAAACAAAATAAATAAATTCATGCTTTGTTAAATTAACTAAAAGAACATCAAATAAAATCATACTTGATAAATTACATCATAGAGCATAAACATGAAACAAGACTAATATAAGAACATATTTAATCTGAATATGAAAACAAGAAATCAAACTAAATTCTGTGTGATACCACAGTGTCCTTAAAACAGATTAGCTGCCTCACCGTGGATGCTGGAGGAACATCGACTTCTGTCTCCCAAAATAAGATGGTTTAAATCGGCTAACTCAGAAGCATCTTCTGTTAGTTTTGGCGAATCGACAATGGCAACACTTTCTCACAGTAAGAAATTTCTAGCAAACTGACTAAAGAATGGAAGAAACAATTTCTGTGTTTGAGACTTGACAGGAGGGTCTCAATTTATACATGTATAAGGGGGAGAGGAGAAGCCTCCAGCCTTTATGGCTGGTCACTAATGCACCATTAACCTTTGTAATAAGGAAAATGCTAGAGGTCCCAAATTTTCTACCAAATAAATGACCAAATGTCTCACATGGGTGTGGGGCCCACAAAATTGCGGACCCCACACCCATGTGAGACATTTGGTCATTTGTTTGGTAGAAAATTTGGTATCCCTAGCATTACTCTTGTAATAAAGGCAGGAGTTACAAACCCCATTAATGCACTATTAAATTCTGCAATAAAGGCAAAAGTTACAAACCCCATTAACTCTTTCATAAAGCTAACTTCATGAGACAATTTCTCATTCAATTCTCAATGATTTTTTGCCATTCTATTTGGGGGATTCTATTTACACCCCAAAAAATATTAAGTACGCTCAAATAAAATTTTGAAATTCTTGATCATATTATACTCTAATATAAATTTACCAATAAAGACAATACACATTAAATCTAAAAATAAAAAATATATATTTCTTTTTCATGTACCCTAATCACTTATACATATCTTTCATATTGAAATCTTCATCTTTTATTTCAAGTTTTAATTATTTTCTCTTCATCTTCTTCCTCACTCCAAAATTCAAATTCACCCTACCAAAACTCACTGTTATCATTAATATCATTGATTCTTATTATGTCGTGACTTGCAAATTAAAAAAAAAATAAAAATAAAATCAAACAATGGATTCAACAAATCCTTTGTTGTTTAAAAAAATTTAAAAATCCTTTGTCGTTCTCCTTGTCATGGCCCAAAATGAGCTTCATAGACAAAAGAAACATTCAACTAAACAAACTGCAGAAGAAGCATTTAACTGACAAAAATATAAGATCAACCTATGGTGATCAACTTCTCAATCAAACACTCCCCACTTTTAATTCATACATATAAATGCTATCCATACAAATACGTATAGACCTATGCATAGATAAACAGATATATACTTACATATGTAATGAAGTTCCATATATATAATCGGTATATATAGACCTATGAAGTTCCATATACACTTGCAGACTATCAAAACATGTAATCGGTATTTAAGGGTTTTTGACTAAGGGTTTACTCTTTTTGAATTGATTTGTTTATTATTTGGGTGTACCACAATTATGATTGGTTTTAACTTTGAAGGGTAATTTGTGAAAAAAACATAGGACATATTGAGAGAAAATTATAACCTAAATAATTTAGTAGAGAATACTAAAAAATTGGGTGTACTAAATGATTTTTTGGGTGCAAATAGAATCCCCCCAAAGCCAATAGGTTGGTTATGGGCTTTGTCATGGTTATGGAGAAATGAAACCCAAAGTTCACACGATTAACTAATTAATTGGACTCTTCCAAGTGTCCGTTCAGGGTCAATCTTCATGGTTCGACTAATGGACCAAATAAACAAATTTTGAAATAGTTAAATTTTATAGTTTTTTAAAATCTAATAGTAAATGATTTATATCTCCTCTTTAAAATTATGAAAATTCCTAGTTTCATCATTCATGCTATGTTTTTGTGAAATTTCTCATTTTTTGAACCGTAAAATTTCACTATTTAGTTTGAAACTATGGCACATACATCATATAGGTTGGCATTATTGTTCATAAAAACTATTTTCAAAATAGTGAAATTCCATAGTCTTTAATATTTTTTTAGCAGAAGTGAGAAATTTCACAATTCTAGACCAAAAAAAATGTGAAATTTTACTCTCTTCTTTTTCCTTTTCCTTTATTTACATAGTCTCTTGTTCAATAGAGATCTTATTTGATAAATTTTGACAAATAAAATTCAAAAATATAAATTTTATATTAACTCTTGTTCAATAGAGATCTTATTTGATAAATTTTGACAAATAAAATTCAAAAATATAAATTTTATATTAAAAAAAGAGTAAATTACACTAACACCCCCTTAGTTTTATGTTTATTACAGTTCCTCTCCACATTTTGAAAATTACATCTCCCTCATTGAGATTTAAAGTTTCATTACAGATTCCCCCCTCAACAATTTAATTTTTTTAAATACCAATTTTGCCCTCATTGGGTAAATTACATTGACACCCTTCACATTTTAGAAATTACAATCTCTCTCTAAGGTTTAAAGTAGCATTACCAATTGCCCTCTCGTTTAGTATTAGTTGGAAAAAAATTCATTGAAAAAAAATTAATTGGAAAAAAATTATTTGAAAAAAAAAATTAATTGAAACAAAATTTTGTTAGTAAAATTTTTAAATTTCTATTTAAAAACCAACATAAACTCATTTTTTGAATTTACGTTTTTTCCTCAAATTTACAAATTGAGACAACCATTTATAAACCAAACATATTATCAAACAAGTTTTATGACAATTTTTAAAATTTTTGTAAATATAAATTGAAAACTGATGACGAAATAGTTACCAAACATGCTTCAGATAGTAAAAATGTCGTAAAATTAACAAATAATTAAATAAGTTACCAACGTAAGAAATGACTTATCAAAAGATTCTTAAGTTATGTATGGTTTGATTTTTAGAAATTTTTTTAAAAAATAAAAAAATAATTTAGTTAAGAAATAAAAAATAAAAAATAATTATCATTTTTATATAATTTTTATCTTTCGAGTGGTGAGAAATAATTTTTTACAAATTAAATTAAAACAGCCATACATATGTATCAAACCTGTCCAAAAGTTAAAATGATAATTATTTTTTACCCTTAAATGATACTTCAGATAGTAAAAATGTCGTAAAATTAACAAATAATTAAATAAGTTACCAACGTAAGAAATGACTTATCAAAAGATTCTTAAGTTATGTATGGTTTGATTTTTAGAAATTTTTTTAAAAAATAAAAAATTAATTTAGTTAAGAAATAAAAAATAAAAAATAATTATCATTTTTATATAATTTTTATCTTTCGAGTGGTGAGAAATAATGTTTTACAAATTAAATTAAAACAGCCATACATATGTATAAAACCTGTCCAAAAGTTAAAATGATAATTATTTTTTACCCTTAAATGATAATTATTTTTTATTTTTTATTTCTTAACCAAATTAATTTTTAATTTTTTTAAAAAAAATCTAAAAATTAAACCATACATAGCCTAAGAATCTTTTAATAAGTCATTTCTTACGTTGGTAACTCATTCCGTTTGGCAAGAGCTAAACGGGGCTTTTTTGGCTATTTTAGCCACAAAAGACAAAATAGGCTATTTTAGCCACAAAAAACAAAACATCACATCCAACCCATAATCATTACATTCTTCTCTCACAAAAAAAGTCAAAAAAGTCAAAAAGCCAAAAAGCCCTTCCCAAACCAAACTTTTTAGCCCAGGCTAAAATAGCCAAAAAAGCCAAAAAGCCAAAAAGCCAACCCACTTCCCAAACGGAGGCTTAATTATTTGTTAATTTTACTACATTTTTACCATCTGAGGTCTGTTTATTAACCCTTTCATTTTCAGTTTTCAATGTATATTTACAAAATTTTTAAAACTGTCATAAAAACTTGTTTGATAGTTTTTTTGGTTTATAAATTGTTGTCACAGTTTGTAAATTTGAGAAAAAAACATAAATTCCAAAAATGAGTTTACATTGGTTTTTAAACAAAAATTTAAAAATTTTATTAACAAATTTTTTTCAAATAATTTTTTTTTCAATGAATTTTTTTTCCAACTAATACTAACCGATGGGGCAATTGGTAATGCTACTTTAAACTTTAAGAAGGGGATTGTAATTTCTAAAATGTGAGAGGTGTCAATGTAATTTACCCAGTGAGGGCAAAATTGATATTTAAAAAAATTAAATTGCTGAGGGGGGAAATCTGTAATGAAACTTTAAACCTCAAAGAGGGAGATGTAATTTTCAAAAAGTAAGGGGGAGAAACTGTAATAAATATAAATCTCAAGGGGTGTTAGTGTAATTTATCCTTAAAAAAATGTATAGAATACAAGTTATGAAATTTTATATTTTAAAAGATATATAAATAAAATAACATATCAGCGTGCCTATGAGCTCATTTGGATTGTGAGTTGGCTTTTTGATTTTTTTGTTATTTTAGCCTCGGGCTAAAAAAATTCTTTTGGGATAGACTTTCTTGTTTTTTTTACTTTTGTAAGAGAAAAAATGAAATGATTATAGATTAAATGTAACATTTTTTTTTATTTGACTAAAATAACTTATTTTATCTTATATAACTATTTTAACCTAAATGTTCTTTCCAAACAAGCTCTATATATGGTGGGCAGGGCTTCTTACATTAATAAGCAAAAAATAATGCGAAATAGTAGTTTTGAAAAATCAAATTAAATTTCGAAACAATTTATACAATGAATCTCACAACTCATAACAAAAAAAAGTCAAGCAAAAACAGACCACACGTTTGCACGTTTCAAATTTGAGATACAAAAATGTCAAAACAAAAAATCACAGCCGTTCAAACGGCCCCTCATATGTATCTTTTTATGATTGCCTAGAAACATTCAAATACAAATGAATAAGTATAATGAATGCAGGTGATTCACTTAGCTGAAATTTTAATTATAGGTAACCAACCAAGCATTGAATATACATTCAAAATTCATTAATGATTTTAGTTGACCGTGATTGT